GGCTAAAAACAGGGATTTCTATGAAAATAAGTGATATTTTAGGTTAAAAACAGGGATTTCCATGGAAATAAGCGATATTTGAGGTTAAAAACTGGGATTTCTATGAAAATAAGCGATATTTTAGGTTGAAAAAAAGGGATTTCTAGGAAAATAAGCGATATTTTAGGTTAAAAACAGGGATTTCTATGAAAATAAGCGATATTTAAGGGGAAAAACTGGGATTTCTATGAAAATAAGTGATATTTTAGGTTAAAAACAGGGATTTCTATGAAAATAAGCGATATTTAAGGGGAAAAACAGGGATTTCTATGAAAATAAGCGATATTTAAGGGGAAAAACAGGGATTTCTAGGAAAATAAGCGATATTTGAGGATAAAAACAGGGATTTCTAGGAAAATAAGCGATATTTTAGGTTAAAAACAGGGATTTCTATGAAAATAAGCGATATTTAAGGGGAAAAACAGGGATTTCTACGAAAATAAGCGATATTTAAGGCGAAAAACTGGGATTTCTATGAAAATAAGCGATATTTAAGGGGAAAAACAGGGATTTCTATGAAAATAAGTGATATTTGAGGTTAAAAACAGGGATTTCTATGAAAATAAGCGATATTTGAGGATAAAAACAGGGATTTCTATGAAAATAAGCGATATCTTAGGTTAAAAACTGGGATTTCTATGAAAATAAGCGATATTTGAGGTTAAAAACAGGGATTTCTATGAAAATAAGCGATATTTAGGGGGAAAAACTGGGATTTCTATGAAAATAAGCGATATTTGAGGTTAAAAACAGGGATTTCTAGGAAAATAAGTGATATTTTAGGTTAAAAACAGGGATTTCTATGAAAATAAGCAATATTTCAGGGGAAAAACAGGGATTTCCATGAAAATAAGCGATATTTAAGGGGAAAATCAGGGATTTCTAGTAAAATATGCGATATTTTAGGGTTAAAAACAGGGATTTCTATGAAAATAAGTGATATTTAATTTAAAAAACAGGGATTTCTATGAATATAAGCGATATTTAAGTGGAAAAACAGGCATTTCCAGGAAAGCAAGCGATATTTGAGGGGAAAAACAGGGATTTCTAGGAAAGTAAGCGATATTTAAGGGATAAAAACAGGGATTTCTATGAAAATAAGCGTTGTTTGAGGGGAAAAACAGGGATTTCTATGGAAATAAGCGATATTTTAGGTTAAAAACAGGGATTTCTATGAAAATAAGCGATATTTTAGGTTAAAAACTGGGATTTCTATGGAAATAAGCGATATTTGAGGTTAAAAACAGGGATTTCTAGGAAAATAAGCGATATTTGAGGATAAAAACAGGGATTTCTATGAAAATAAGCGATATTTAAGGGGAAAAACAGGGATTTCTAGGAAAATAAGCGATATTTGAGGTTAAAAACAGGGATTTCTATGAAAATAAGCGATATTTGAGGTTAAAAACTGGGATTTCTATGAAAATAAGCGATATTTAAGGGGAAAAACAGGGATTTCTAGGAAAATAAGCGATATTTAAGGGGAAAAACAGTGATTTCTATGAAAATAAGCGATATTTGAGGTTAAAAACAGGGATTTCTAGGAAAATAAGCGATATTTGAGGTTAAAAACAGGGATTTCTATGAAAATAAGCGATATTTTAGGTTAAAAACAGGGATTTCTATGAAAATAAGCGATATTTAAGGGGAAAAACAGGGATTTCTATGAAAATAAGCGATATTTTAGGTTGAAAACTGGGATTTCTAGGAAAATAAGCGATATTTTAGGTTAAAAACAGGGATTTCTATGAAAATAAGCGATATTTGAGGATAAAAACAGGGATTTCTATGAAAATAACGGATATTTTAGGTTAAAAACAGGGATTTCTATGAAAATAAGCGATATTTTAGGTTAAAAACTGGGATTTCTATGAAAATAAGTGATATTTGAGGTTAAAAACAGGGATTTCTATGAAAATAAGCGATATTTAAGGGGAAAAACAGGGATTTCTATGAAAATAAGCGATATTTAAGGGGAAAAACAGGGATTTCTAGGAAAATAAGCGATATTTGAGGTTAAAAACAGGGATTTCTAGGAAAATAAGCGATATTTAAGGGGAAAAACAGGGATTTCTATGAAAATAAGCGATATTTTAGGGGAAAAACAGGGATTTCTATGAAAATAAGCGATATTTTATGGGGGAAAACAGGGATTTCTATGAAAATAAGCGATATTTGAGGTTAAAAACAGGGATTTCTATGAAAATAAGCGATATTTGAGGATAAAAACAGGGATTTCTATGAAAATAAGCGATATCTTAGGTTAAAAACAGGGATTTCTAGGAAAATAAGCGATATTTAAGGGGAAAAACAGGGATTTCTATGAAAATAAGCGATATTTCGGGGGAAAAACAGGGATTTCTAGGAAAATAAGCGATATTGAAGGGGAAAAACAGGGATTTCTAAAAAAATAAGCGATATCTTAGGTTAAAAACTGGGATTTCTATGACAATAAGCAATATTTAAGGGGAAAAACTGGGATTTCTACGAAAATAAGCGATATTTTATGGGAAAAATAGGGATTTCTATGAAAATAAGCGGTATTTTAGGTTAAAAACAGGGATTTCTAGGAAAATAAGCAATATTTAAGGGGAAAAACTGGGATTTCTAGGAAAATAAGCAATATTTGAGGTTAAAAACAGGGATTTCTAGGAAAATAAGCGATATTTTAGGTTAAAAACAGGGATTTCTATGAAAATAAGCGATATTTGAGGTTAAAAACAGGGATTTCTATGAAAATAAGCGATATTTGAGGTTAAAAACAGGGATTTCTTCGAAAATAAGCGATATTTGAGGTTAAAAACAGGGATTTCTATGAAAATAAGCGATATTTTAGGTTAAAAACAAGGATTTCTATGAAAATAAGCGATATTTATGGGGAAAAACTGGGATTTCTATGAAAATAAGCGATATTTGAGGTTAAAAACAGGGATTTCTATGAAAATAAGCGATATTTTAGGTTAAAAACTGGGATTTCTATGAAAATAAGCGATATTTGAGGTTAAAAACTGGCATTTCTATGAAAATAAGCGATATTTGAGGGAAAAACTGGGATTTCTATGAAAATAAGCGATATTTGAGGTTAAAAGCAGGGATTTCTATGGAAATAAGCGATATTTTAGGTTAAAAACAGTGATTTCTATGAAAATAAGCGATATTTGAGGTTAAAAACAGGGATTTCTAGGAAAATAAGCGATATTTAAGGGGAAAAACAGGGATTTCTATGAAAATAAGGGATATTTAAGGGGAAAAACAGGGATTTCTATGAAAATAAGCAATATTTAAGGGGAAAAACAGGGATTTCTATGAAAATAAGCGATATTTGAGGTTAAAAACAGGGATTTCTGTGGAAATGAGCGATATTTGAGGTTAAAAACAGGGATTTCTAGGAAAATAAGCGATATTTAAGGTTAGAAACAGGGATTTCTATGAAAATAAGTGATATTTAAATTAAAAAACAGGAATTTCTAGGAAAATAAGCGATATTTTAGGATTAAAAACAGGGATTTCTATGAAAATAAGCGATATCTTAGGTTAAAAACAGGGATTTCTAGGAAAATAAGCGATATTTGAGGTTAAAAACAGGGATTTCTATGGAAATGAGCGATATTTGAGGTTAAAAACAGGGATTTCTATGAAAATAAGCGATATTTGAGGTTAAAAATAGGGATTTCTATGAAAATAAGCGATATTTTAGGTTAAAAACTGGGATTTCTATGAAAATAAGTGATATTTAAATTAAAAAACAGGAATTTCTAGGAAAATAAGCGATATTTTAGGATTAAAAACAGGGATTTCTATGAAAATAAGCGATATTTGAGGTTAAAAACAGGGATTTCTATGATAATAAGCGATATTTAAGGGGAAAAACAGGGATTTCTATGAAAATAAGCGATATTTGAGGTTAAAAACAGGGATTTCTATGAAAATAAGCGATATTTGAGGTTAAAAACAGGGATTTCTATGAAAATAAGCGATATTTTAGGTTAAAAACAGGGATTTCCATGGAAATAAGCGATATTTGAGGTTAAAAACTGGGATTTCTATGAAAATAAGCGATATTTGAGGTTAAAAACAGGGATTTCTATGAAAATAAGCGATATTTGAGGTTAAAAACAGGGATTTCTATGAAAATAAGTGATATTTTAGGTTAAAAACAGGGATTTCCATGGAAATAAGCGATATTTGAGGTTAAAAACTGGGATTTCTATGAAAATAAGCGATATTTTAGGTTAAAAACAGGGATTTCTATGAAAATAAGCGATATTTGAGGTTAAAAACAGGGATTTCTAGGAAAATAAGCGATATTTGAGGTTAAAAACAGGGATTTCTATGGAAATAAGTGATATTTTAGGTTAAAAACAGGGATTTCTATGAAAATAAGCGATATTTGAGGGGAAAAACTGGGATTTCTATGGAAATAAGCGATATTTGAGGATAAAAACAGGGATTTCTATGAAAATAAGCGATATTTTAGGTTAAAAACTGGGATTTCTATGGAAATAAGCGATATTTTAGGTTAAAAACAGGGATTTCTATGAAAATAAGCGATATTTGAGGTTAAAAACTGGGATTCCTATGAAAATAAGCAATATTTTAGGTTAAAAACAGGGATTTCTATGAAAATAAGCGATATTTTAGGTTAAAAACAGGGATTTCTATGAAAATAAGCGATATTTTAGGTTAAAAAAAGGGATTTCTATGAAAATAAGCAATATTTAAGGGGAAAAACAGGGATTTCTATGAAAATAAGCGATATTTAAGGGGAAAAACTGGGATTTCTATGAAAATAAGTGATATTTAAGGTTAAAAACAGGGATTTCTATGGAAATAAGCGATATTTTAGGTTAAAAACAGGGATTTCTATGAAAATAAGCGATATTTAAGGTTAAAAACAGGGATTTCTAGGAAAATAAGCGATATTTTAGGTTAAAAACAGGGATTTCTATGAAAATAAGCAATATTTAAGGATAAAAACAGGGATTTCTATGAAAATAAGCGATATTTTAGGTTAAAAACAGGGATTTCTAGGAAAATAAGCGATATTTGAGGTTAAAAACAGGGATTTCTATGAAAATAAGCGATATTTGAGGTTAAAAACAGGGATTTCTATGAAAATAAGCGATATTTAAGGGGAAAAACTGGGATTTCTATGGAAATAAGCGATATTTTAGGTTAAAAACAGGGATTTCTATGAAAATAAGCGATATTTAAGGGGAAAAACAGGGATTTCTATGAAAATAAGCGATATTTAAGGGGAAAAACAGGGATTTCTATGAAAATAAGCGATATTTAAGGGGAAAAACAGGGATTTCTATGAAAATAAGCGATATTTGAGGTTAAAAACAGGGATTTCCATGAAAATAAGCGATATTTTAGGTTAAAAACAGGGATTTCTATGAAAATAAGCGATATTTTAGGTTAAAAACAGGGATTTCTATGAAAATAAGCGATATTTAAGGGGAAAAACAGGGATTTCTATGAAAATAAGCGATATTTTAGGTTGAAAACTGGGATTTCTAGGAAAATAAGCGATATTTGAGGATAAAAACAGGGATTTCTATGAAAATAAGCGATATTTGAGGATAAAAACAGGGATTTCTATGAAAATAACGGATATTTTAGGTTAAAAACAGGGATTTCTATGAAAATAAGCGATATTTAAGGGGAAAAACTGGGATTTCTATGAAAATAAGCGATATTTGAGGTTAAAAACAGGGATTTCTATGAAAATAAGCGATATTTAAGGGGAAAAACAGGGATTTCTATGAAAATAAGCGATATTTAAGGGGAAAAACAGGGATTTCTTGGAAAATAAGCGATATTTGAGGATAAAAACAGGGATTTCGATGAAAATAAGCGATATTTAAGGGGAAAAACAGGGATTTCTATGAAAATAAGCGATATTTTAGGGGAAAAACAGGGATTTCTATGAAAATAAGCGATATTTTAGGGGAAAAACTGGGATTTCTATGAAAATAAGCGATATTTTATGGGGGAAAACAGGGATTTCTATGAAAATAAGCGATATTTGAGGTTAAAAACAGGGATTTCTATGAAAATAAGCGATATTTGAGGATAAAAACAGGGATTTCTATGAAAATAAGCGATATCTTAGGTTAAAAACAGGGATTTCTAGGAAAATAAGCGATATTTAAGGGGAAAACAGGGATTTCTATGAAAATAAGCGATATTTAGGGGGAAAAACTGGGATTTCTATGAAAATAAGCGATATTTGAGGTTAAAAACAGGGATTTCTAGGAAAATAAGTGATATTTTAGGTTAAAAACAGGGATTTCTATGAAAATAAGCAATATTTCAGGGGAAAAACAGGGATTTCCATGAAAATAAGCGATATTTAAGGGGAAAATCAGGGATTTCTAGTAAAATATGCGATATTTTAGGGTTAAAAACAGGGATTTCTATGAAAATAAGTGATATTTAATTTAAAAAACAGGGATTTCTATGAATATAAGCGATATTTAAGTGGAAAAACAGGCATTTCCAGGAAAGCAAGCGATATTTGAGGTTAAAAACAGGGATTTCTAGGAAAGTAAGCGATATTTAAGGGATAAAAACAGGGATTTCTATGAAAATAAGCGTTGTTTGAGGTTAAAAACAGGGATTTGTATGGAAATAAGCTACATTTTGGGTTAAAAAAAGAGATATCTTTGAAAATAAGCGATATTTATATTTGAAAAAGGGATTTCTATGAAAATAAGTGATATTTAAGGTTAAAAACAGGGATATCTATGGAAATAAGCGATATTTTAGGTTAAAAACTGGGATTTCTAGTAATATATGCGATATTTTAGGGTTAAAAACAGGGATTTCTACGAAAATAAGCAATATTTGAGGTTAAAAACAGGGATTTCTATGATAATAAGCGATATTTAAGGGGAAAAACAGGGATTTCTATGAAAATAAGCGATATTTGAGGTTAAAAACAGGGATTTCTATGAAAATAAGCGATATTTGAGGTTAAAAACAGGGATTTCTATGAAAATAAGTGATATTTTAGGTTAAAAACAGGGATTTCCATGGAAATAAGCGATATTTGAGGTTAAAAACTGGGATTTCTATGAAAATAAGCGATATTTTAGGTTAAAAACAGGGATTTCTATGAAAATAAGCGATATTTGAGGTTAAAAACTGGGATTTCTATGGAAATAAGCGATATTTGAGGTTAAAAACAGGGATTTCTATGAAAATAAGCGATATTTTAGGTTAAAAACTGGGATTTCTATGGAAATAAGCGATATTTTAGGTTAAAAACAGGGATTTCTATGAAAATAAGCGATATTTGAGGTTAAAAACAGGGATTTCTATGAAAATAAGCGATATTTATGGGGGAAAACAGGGATTTCTAGGAAAATAAGCGATATTTTAGGTTAAAAACAGGGATTTCTATGAAAATAAGCGATATTTGAGGTTAAAAACAGGGATTTCTATGAAAATAAGCGATATTTAAGGGGAAAAACAGGGATTTCTATGATAATAAGCGATATTTAAGGGGAAAAACAGGGATTTCTATGAAAATAAGCGATATTTTAGGTTAAAAACAGGGATTTCAATGAAAATAAGCGATATTTTAGGTTAAAAACAGGGATTTCTATGAAAATAAGCGATATTTAAGGGGAAAAACAGGGATTTCTATGAAAATAAGCGATATTTTAGGTTGAAAACTGGGATTTCTAGGAAAATAAGCGATATTTTAGGTTAAAAACAGGGATTTCCATGGAAATAAGCGATATTTGAGGTTAAAAACTGGGATTTCTATGAAAATAAGCGATATTTGAGGTTAAAAACAGGGATTTCTATGAAAATAAGCGATATTTGAGGTTAAAAACAGGGATTTCTATGAAAATAAGTGATATTTTAGGTTAAAAACAGGGATTTCCATGGAAATAAGCGATATTTGAGGTTAAAAACTGGGATTTCTATGAAAATAAGCGATATTTTAGGTTAAAAACAGGGATTTCTATGAAAATAAGCGATATTTGAGGTTAAAAACAGGGATTTCTAGGAAAATAAGCGATATTTGAGGTTAAAAACAGGGATTTCTATGGAAATAAGTGATATTTTAGGTTAAAAACAGGGATTTCTATGAAAATAAGCGATATTTGAGGGGAAAAACTGGGATTTCTATGGAAATAAGCGATATTTGAGGATAAAAACTGGGATTTCTATGAAAATAAGCGATATTTTAGGTTAAAAACTGGGATTTCTATGGAAATAAGCGATATTTTAGGTTAAAAACAGGGATTTCTATGAAAATAAGCGATATTTGAGGTTAAAAACTGGGATTCCTATGAAAATAAGCAATATTTTAGGTTAAAAACAGGGATTTCTATGAAAATAAGCGATATTTTAGGTTAAAAACAGGGATTTCTATGAAAATAAGCGATATTTTAGGTTAAAAAAAGGGATTTCTATGAAAATAAGCAATATTTAAGGGGAAAAACAGGGATTTCTATGAAAATAAGCGATATTTAAGGGGAAAAACTGGGATTTCTATGAAAATAAGTGATATTTAAGGTTAAAAACAGGGATTTCTATGGAAATAAGCGATATTTTAGGTTAAAAAATTGGGATTTCTATGAAAATAAGCGATATTTAAGGTTAAAAACAGGGATTTCTAGGAAAATAAGCGATATTTTAGGTTAAAAACAGGGATTTCTATGAAAATAAGCAATATTTAAGGATAAAAACAGGGATTTCTATGAAAATAAGCGATATTTTAGGGTTAAAAACAGGGATTTCTAGGAAAATAAGCGATATTTGAGGTTAAAAACAGGGATTTCTATGAAAATAAGCGATATTTGAGGTTAAAAACAGGGATTTCTATGAAAATAAGCGATATTTAAGGGGAAAAACTGGGATTTCTATGGAAATAAGCGATATTTTAGGTTAAAAACAGGGATTTCTATGAAAATAAGCGATATTTAAGGGGAAAAACAGGGATTTCTATGAAAATAAGCGATATTTAAGGGGAAAAACAGGGATTTCTATGAAAATAAGCGATATTTAAGGGGAAAAACAGGGATTTCTATGAAAATAAGCGATATTTGAGGTTAAAAACAGGGATTTCCATGAAAATAAGCGATATTTTAGGTTAAAAACAGGGATTTCTATGAAAATAAGCGATATTTTAGGTTAAAAACAGGGATTTCTATGAAAATAAGCGATATTTAAGGGGAAAAACAGGGATTTCTATGAAAATAAGCGATATTTTAGGTTGAAAACTGGGATTTCTAGGAAAATAAGCGATATTTGAGGATAAAAACAGGGATTTCTATGAAAATAAGCGATATTTGAGGATAAAAACAGGGATTTCTATGAAAATAACGGATATTTTAGGTTAAAAACAGGGATTTCTATGAAAATAAGCGATATTTAAGGGGAAAAACTGGGATTTCTATGAAAATAAGCGATATTTGAGGTTAAAAACAGGGATTTCTATGAAAATAAGCGATATTTAAGGGGAAAAACAGGGATTTCTATGAAAATAAGCGATATTTAAGGGGAAAAACAGGGATTTCTTGGAAAATAAGCGATATTTGAGGATAAAAACAGGGATTTCGATGAAAATAAGCGATATTTAAGGGGAAAAACAGGGATTTCTATGAAAATAAGCGATATTTTAGGGGAAAAACAGGGATTTCTATGAAAATAAGCGATATTTTAGGGGAAAAACTGGGATTTCTATGAAAATAAGCGATATTTTATGGGGGAAAACAGGGATTTCTATGAAAATAAGCGATATTTGAGGTTAAAAACAGGGATTTCTATGAAAATAAGCGATATTTGAGGATAAAAACAGGGATTTCTATGAAAATAAGCGATATCTTAGGTTAAAAACAGGGATTTCTAGGAAAATAAGCGATATTTAAGGGGAAAACAGGGATTTCTATGAAAATAAGCGATATTTAGGGGGAAAAACTGGGATTTCTATGAAAATAAGCGATATTTGAGGTTAAAAACAGGGATTTCTAGGAAAATAAGTGATATTTTAGGTTAAAAACAGGGATTTCTATGAAAATAAGCAATATTTCAGGGGAAAAACAGGGATTTCCATGAAAATAAGCGATATTTAAGGGGAAAATCAGGGATTTCTAGTAAAATATGCGATATTTTAGGGTTAAAAACAGGGATTTCTATGAAAATAAGTGATATTTAATTTAAAAAACAGGGATTTCTATGAATATAAGCGATATTTAAGTGGAAAAACAGGCATTTCCAGGAAAGCAAGCGATATTTGAGGTTAAAAACAGGGATTTCTAGGAAAGTAAGCGATATTTAAGGGATAAAAACAGGGATTTCTATGAAAATAAGCGTTGTTTGAGGTTAAAAACAGGGATTTGTATGGAAATAAGCTACATTTTGGGTTAAAAAAAGAGATATCTTTGAAAATAAGCGATATTTATATTTGAAAAAGGGATTTCTATGAAAATAAGTGATATTTAAGGTTAAAAACAGGGATATCTATGGAAATAAGCGATATTTTAGGTTAAAAACTGGGATTTCTAGTAATATATGCGATATTTTAGGGTTAAAAACAGGGATTTCTACGAAAATAAGCAATATTTGAGGTTAAAAACAGGGATTTCTATGATAATAAGCGATATTTAAGGGGAAAAACAGGGATTTCTATGAAAATAAGCGATATTTTAGGTTAAAAACAGGGATTTCTATGAAAATAAGCGATATTTGAGGTTAAGAACAGGGATTTCTATGAAAATAAGTGATATTTTAGGTTAAAAACAGGGATTTCCATGGAAATAAGCGATATTTGAGGTTAAAAACTGGGATTTCTATGAAAATAAGCGATATTTGAGGTTAAAAACAGGGATTTCTATGAAAATAAGCGATATTTTAGGTTAAAAACAGGGATTTCTATGAAAATAAGCGATATTTGAGGTTAAAAACTGGGATTTCTATGGAAATAAGCGATATTTGAGGTTAAAAACAGGGATTTCTATGAAAATAAGCGATATTTTAGGTTAAAAACTGGGATTTCTATGGAAATAAGCGATATTTTAGGTTAAAAACAGGGATTTCTATGAAAATAAGCGATATTTGAGGTTAAAAACAGGGATTTCTATGAAAATAAGCGATATTTATGGGGGAAAACAGGGATTTCTAGGAAAATAAGCGATATTTTAGGTTAAAAACAGGGATTTCTATGAAAATAAGCGATATTTGAGGTTAAAAACAGGGATTTCTATGAAAATAAGCGATATTTAAGGGGAAAAACAGGGATTTCTATGATAATAAGCGATATTTAAGGGGAAAAACAGGGATTTCTATGAAAATAAGCGATATTTTAGGTTAAAAACAGGGATTTCAATGAAAATAAGCGATATTTTAGGTTAAAAACAGGGATTTCTATGAAAATAAGCGATATTTAAGGGGAAAAACAGGGATTTCTATGAAAATAAGCGATATTTTAGGTTGAAAACTGGGATTTCTATGAAAATAAGCGATATTTTAGGTTAAAAACAGGGATTTCTATGAAAATAAGCGATATTTGAGGATAAAAACAGGGATTTCTATGAAAATAACGGATATTTTAGGTTAAAAACAGGGATTTCTATGAAAATAAGCGATATTTAAGGGGAAAAACTGGGATTTCTATGAAAATAAGCGATATTTCAGGTTAAAAACAGGGATTTCTATGAAAATAAGCGATATTTCAGGGTTAAAAACAGGGATTTCTATGAAAATAAGCGATATTTAAGGGGAAAAACAGGGATTTCTAGGAAAATAAGCGATATTTGAGGTTAAAAACAGGGATTTCGATGAAAATAAGCGATATTTAAGGGGAAAAACAGGGATTTCTATGAAAATAAGCGATATTTAAGGGGAAAAACAGGGATTTCTATGAAAATAAGCGATATTTTAGGGGAAAAACTGGGATTTCTATGAAAATAAGCGATATTTTATGGGGGAAAACAGGGATTTCTATGAAAATAAGCGATATTTGAGGTTAAAAACAGGGATTTCTATGAAAATAAGCGATATTTGAGGAAAAAAACAGGGATTTCTATGAAAATAAGCGATATCTTAGGTTAAAAACTGGGATTTCTATGACAATAAGCAATATTTAAGGGGAAAAACTGGGATTTCTACGAAAATAAGCGATATTTTATGGGAAAAATAGGGATTTCTATGAAAATAAGCGATATTTGAGGTTAAAAACAGGGATTTCTAGGAAAGTAAGCGATATTTGAGGTTAAAAACAGGGATTTCTATGAAAATAAGCGATATTTTAGGTTAAAAACTGGGATTTCTAGGAAAATAAGCGATATTTGAGGGAAAAACTGGGATTTCTAGGAAAATAAGCGATATTTGAGGTTAAAAACAGGGATTTCTAGGAAAATAAGCGATATTTTAGGTTAAAAACAGGGATTTCTATGAAAATAAGCGATATTTGAGGTTAAAAACAAGGATTTCTATGAAAATAAGCGATATTTTAGGTTAAAAACAGGGATTTCTTCGAAAATAAGCGATATTTGAGGTTAAAAACAGGGATTTCTAGGAAAATAAGCGATATTTGAGGTTAAAAACAGGGATTTCTAGGAAAATAAGCGATATTTGAGGATAAAAACAGGGATTTCTATGAAAATAAGCGATATTTATGGGGAAAAACTGGGATTTCTATGAAAATAAGCGATATTTGAGGTTAAAAACAGGGATTTCTATGAAAATAAGCGATATTTTAGGTTAAAAACTGGGATTTCTATGAAAATAAGCGATATTTGAGGTTAAAAACTGGGATTTCTATGAAAATAAGCGATATTTAAGGGGAAAAACAGGCATTTCTATGAAAATAAGCGATATTTGAGGGAAAAACTGGGATTTCTATGAAAATAAGCGATATTTGAGGTTAAAAGCAGGGATTTCTATGGAAATAAGCGATATTTTAGGTTAAAAACAGGGATATCTATGAAAATAAGCGATATTTGAGGTTAAAAACAGGGATTTCTAGGAAAATAAGCGATATTTAAGGGGAAAAACAGGGATTTCTATGAAAATAAGCGATATTTAAGGGGAAAAACAGGGATTTCTATGAAAATAAGCGATATTTAAGGGGAAAAACAGGGATTTCTATGAAAATAAGCGATATTTGAGGTTAAAAACAGGGATTTCTGTGGAAATGAGCGATATTTGAGGTTAAAAACAGGGATTTCTAGGAAAATAAGCGATATTTAAGGGGAAAAACAGGGATTTCTATGAAAATAAGTGATATTTAAATTAAAAAACAGGAATTTCTAGGAAAATAAGCGATATTTTAGGATTAAAAACAGGGATTTCTATGAAAATAAGCGATATTTGAGGTTAAAAACAGGGATTTCTATGAAAATAAGCGATATTTAAGGGGAAAAACTGGGATTTCTATGAAAATAAGCGATATTTAAGGGGAAAAACAGGGATTTCTATGAAAATAAGCGATATTTGAGGTTAAAAACAGGGATTTCTAGGAAAATAAGGGATATTTAAGGGGAAAATCAGGGATTTCTATGAAAATAAGCGATATTTGAGGTTAAAAACAGGGATTTCTATGAAAATAAGCGATATTTAAGGGGAAAATCAGGGATTTCTATGAAAATAAGTGATATTTTAGGTTAAAAACAGGGATTTCTATGATAATAAGCAATATTTAAGGGGAAAAACAGGGATTTCTAGGAAAATAAGCGATATTTTATGGGAAAAACAGGGATTTCTATGAAAATAAGCGATATTTATGGGGAAAAACTGGGATTTCTATGACAATAAGCGATATTTTAGGGAAAAACTGGGATTTCTAGGAAAATAAGCAATATTTGAGGTTAAAAACTGGGATTTCTATGAAAATAAGCGATATTTAATTGGAAAAACAGGGATTTCTATGAAAATAAGCGATATTTGAGGTTAAAAACAGGGATTTCTATGAAAATAAGCGATATTTTAGGTTAAAAACAGGGATTTCTATGGAAATAAGCGATATTTAAGGGGAAAAACAGGGATTTCTATGAAAATAAGCGATATTTTAGGATAAGAACTGGGATTTCTATGAAAATAAGAGATATTTTAGGTTAAAAACAGGGATTTCTATGGAAATAAGCGATATTTTAGGTTAAAAACAGGGATTTCTATGAAAATAAACGATATTTAAGGGGAAAAACAGGGATTTCTATGAAAATAAGCGATATCTTAGGTTAAAAACTGGGATTTCTATGGAAATAAGCGATATTTTAGGTTAAAAACTGGGATTTCTATGAAATTATGCGATATTTAAGGTTAAAAACAGGGATTTCTATGGAAATAAGTGATATTTAAGGTTAAAAACAGGAATTTCTAGGAAAATAAGCGATATTTTAGGTTAGAAACAGGGATTTCTATGAAAATAAGCGATATTTTAGGTTAAAAACAGGGATTTCTATGGAAATAAGCGATATTTAAGGGGAAAAACAGGGATTTCTATGAAAATAAGCGATATTTGAGTTTAAAAACAGGGATTTCTATGAAAATAAGCGATATTTAAGGTTAAAAACAGGAATTTCTATGGAAATAAGCGATATTTAAGGGGAAAAACAGGGATTTCTAGGAAAATAAGCGATATTTAAGGGGAAAAACAGGGATTTCTATGAAAATAAGCGATATTTAAGGGGAAAAACAGGGATTTCTATGAAAATAAGCGATATTTTAGGTTAAAAACAGGGATATCTATGAAAATAAGCGATATTTTAGGTTAAAAACAGGGATTTCTATGAAAATAAGCGATATTTTAGGTTAAAAACAGGGATTTCTAGGAAAATAAGCGATATCTTAGGATAAAAACAGGGATTTCTAGGAAAATAGGCGATATTTGAGGGGAAAAACAGGGATTTCTAGGAAAATAAACGATATTTAAGGGATAAAAACAGGGATTTCTATGAAAATAAGCGATATTTTAGGTTAAAAACAGGGATTTCTATGAAAATAAGTGATATTTAAGGGGAAAAACAGGGATTTCTATGAAAATAAGTGATATTTAAGGGGAAAAACAGGGATTTGTACGAAAATAAGCAATATCTAAGGGGAAAAACTGGGATTTCTATGAAAATAAGTGATATTTAAGGGGAAAAACAGGGATTTCTATGAAAATAAGCGATATTTGAGGTTAAAAACTGGGATTTCTATGAAAATAAGCGATATTTAAGGGGAAAAACAGGGATTTCTACGAAAATAAGCGATATTTTTGGGGAAAAACTGGGATTTCTATGAAAATAAGTGATAGTTAAATTAAAAAACAGGAATTTCTATGAAAATAAGCGATATTTTAGGATTAAAAACAGGGATTTCTATGAAAATATGTCATATTTTAGGGGAATAATAGGGATTTCTATGAAATTAAGCAATATTTAAGGTTAAAAACAGGAATTCCTATGAAAATAAGCGGTATTTTAGGGGAATAACAGGGATTTCTAGTAAAATATGGGATATTTTAGGGTTAAAAACAGTGATTTCTATGAAAATAAGCGATATTTGAGGTTAAAAACTGGGATTTCTAGGAAAATAAGCAATATTTTAGGGGAAAAACTGGGATTTCTATGAAAATAAGCAATATTTCAGGGGAAAAACAGGGATTTCCATGAAAATAATAGGCATTTTAGGGTTAAAAACAGGGATTTCTATGAAAATAAGCGATATTTGAGGTTAAAAACTGGGATTTCTATGAAAATAAGTGATATTTAATTTAAAAAACAGGGATTTCTACGAATATATGCGATATTTAAGTGGAAAAACAGGCATTTCCAGGAAAGCAAGCGATATTTTAGGTTAAAAACAGGGATTTCTATGAAAGTAAGCGATATTTAAGGTTAAAAACAGGGATTTCTATGAAAATAAACGATATTTAAGGGATAAAAACAGGGATTTCTATGAAAATAAGCGTTGTTTGAGGTTAAAAACAGGGATTTCTATGGAAATAAGCGATATTTTGGGTTAAAAAAAGAGATTTCTTTGAAAATAAGCGATATTTATATTAGAAAAATGGATTTCTATGAAAATAAGTGATATTTAAGGTTAAAAACAGGGATTTCTATGGAAATAAGCGATATTTAAGGGGAAAAAAAAGGGATTTCTATGAAAATAAGCGATATTTTAGGATTAAAAACAGGGATTTCTATGAAAATATGTCATATTTTAGGGGAATAATAGGGATTTCTATGAAATTATGCGATATTTAAGGTTAAAAACAGGAATTTCTATGAAAATAAGCGGTATTTTACGAGAATAACAGTGATTTCTAGTAAAATATGGGATATTTTAGGGTTAAAAACAGTGATTTCTATGAAAATAAGCGATATTTGAGGTTAAAAACAGGGATATCTATGAAAATAAGCGATATTTTAGGGTTAAAAACAGGGATTTCTATGAAAATAAGCGATATTTGAGTTTAAAAACAGTGATTTCTATGAAAATAAGCAATATTTGAGGTTAAAAACAGGGATTTCTAGGAAAATAAGTGATATTTTAGGGGAAAAACAGGGATTTCTATGAAAATAAGCAATATTTCAGGGGAAAAACAGGGATTTCCATGAAAATAATTGGCATTTTAGGGTTAAAAACAGGGATTTCTATGAAAATAAGCGATATTTGAGGTTAAAAACAGGGATTTCTATGAAAATAAGCGATATTTAAGGGGAAAAACAGGGATTTCTATGAAAATAAGCGATATTTCAGGGTTAAAAACTGGGATTTCTATGAAAATAAGCGATATTTAAGGGGAAAAACTGGGATTTCTATGAAAATAAGCGATATTTAAGGGGAAAAACTGGGATTTCTAGGAAAATAAGCAATATTTTAGGGGAAAAACAGGGATTTCTATGAAAATAAGCAATATTTCAGGGGAAAAACAGGGATTTCCATGAAAATAATTGGCATTTTAGGGTTAAAAACAGGGATTTCTATGAAAATAAGCGATATTTGAGGTTAAAAACAGGGATTTCTATGAAAATAAGTAATATTTAATTTAAAAAACAGGGATTTCTACGAATATATGCGATATTTAAGTGGAAAAACACGCTTTTCCAGGAAAGCAAGCGATATTTTAGGTTAAAAATAGGGATTTCTAGGAAAGTAAGCGATATTTAAGGTTAAAAACAGGGATTTCTATGAAAATAAACGATATTTAAGGGATAAAAACAGGGATTTCTATGAAAATAAGCGTTGTTTGAGGTTAAAAACAGGGATTTCTATGGAAATAAGCAATATTTTGGGTTAAAAAAAGAGATTTCTTTGAAAATAAGCGATATTTATATTAGAAAAAGGGATTTCTATGAAAATAAGTGATATTTAAGGTTAAAAACAGGGATTTCTATGGAAATAAGCGATATTTAAGGGGAAAAATAGGGTTTTCTATGAAAATAAGCGATATTTTAGGATTAAAAACAGGGATTTCTATGAAAATATGTCATATTTTAGGGGAATGATAGGGATTTCTATGAAATTAAGCTATATTTAAGGTTAAAAACAGGAATTTCTATGAAAATAAGCGGTAGTTTAGGAGAATAACAGTGATTTCTAGTAAAATAAGCGATATTTTAGGGTTAAAAACAGTGATTTCTATGAAAATAAGCGCTATTTAAGGGGAAAAACAGGGATTTCTATGAAAATAAGCGATATTTGAGGGGAAAAACAGGGATTTCTATGAAAATAAGCAATATTTGAGGTTAAAAACAGGGATTTCTAGGAAATTAAGTGATATTTTAGGGGAAAAACAGGGATTTCTATGAAAATAAGCAATATTTCAGGGGAAAAACAGGGATTTCCATGAAAATAATTGGCATTTTAGGGTTAAAAACAGGGATTTCTATGAAAATAAGCGATATTTGAGGTTGAAAACAGGGATTTCTATGAAAATAAGCGATATTTAAGGGGAAAAACAGGGATTTCTATGAAAATAAGCGATATTTTAGGTTAAAAACAGGGATTTCTATGAAAATAAGCGATATTTAAGTGGAAAAACAGGCATTTCCAGGAAAGCAAGCAATATTTGAGGTTAAAAACAGGGATTTCTAGGAAAGTAAGCGATATTTAAGGGATAAAAACATTGATTTCTATGAAAATAAGCGTTGTTTGAGGTTAAAAACAGGGATTTGTATGAAAATAAGCGATATTTGAGGTTAAAAACAGGGATTTCTATGAAAATAAGCGATATTTATATTAGAAAAAGGGATTTCTATGAAAATAAGTGATATTTAAGGTTAAAAACAGGGATATCTATGAAAAATAAGCGATATTTTAGGTTAAAAACTGGGATTTCTAGTAAAATATGCAATATTTTAGGGTTAAAAACAGGGATTTTTACGAAAATAAGCAATATTTGTGGTTAAAAACAGGGATTTCTATGAAAATAAGCGATATTTTGGGTTAAAAAAACAGAGATCTCTTTGAAAATGAGCGATATTTAAATTTAAAAAAAAGAGATTTCTATGAAAATAAGCGATATTTGAGGTTAAAAATAGGGATTTGTATGAAAATAAGTGATATTTTAGGGGAAAACAGGGATTTCTAGGAAAATAAGCGATATTTAAGGGGAAAAACTGGGATTTCTATGAAAATAAGCAATATTTAAATTAAAAAACAGGGATTTCTAGGAAAATAAGCGGTATTTTAGGGTTAAAAACAGGGATTTCTATGAAAATATGTCATATTTTAGGGGAATAACAGGGATTTCTAGGAAATTAAGCGATATTTCAGGGGAAAAACATGGATTTCTAGGAAAATAAGCGATATTTAAGGGGAAAAACAGGGATTTCTATGAATATAAGCGGTATTTAAGGGGAAAAACAGGGATTTCTATGAATATAAGCGATATTTTAGGGTTAAAAACAGTGATTTCTATGAAAATAAGCAATATTTAATTTAAAAAACAGGGATTTCTAGGAAAATAAGTGATATTTAAGGTTAAAAACAGGGATTTCTATGAATATAAGCGGTATTTAAGGGGAAAAACAGGGATTTCTATGAAAATAAGTGATATTTAAGGTTTGAAACAGGGATTTCTTCGAAAATAAGCAATATTTAAGGGCAAAAACAGGGATTTCTATGAAAATAAGCAACAATTATGGGGAAAAACTGGGATTTCTATGAAAATAAGCGATATTTTAGGTTAAAAACTGGGATTTCTTTGGAAATAAGCGATATTTTAGGTTAAAAACAGGGATTTCAATGAAAATAAGCGATTTTTTATGTTAAAAACAGGGATTTCTATGAAAATAAGTGATATTTTAGGGGATAAACAGGGATTTCTATAAAAATAAGCGATATTTGAGGTTAAAAACAGGCATTTCTACGGTTCCTTCTTGTCGCATGCGCAGTAGTTGCCATTCCCGCTAATGCGCAGTATTGTGACAGCCCCTCGCATGTGCAGTATGTTGCCTGCATGGCGCATGCGCAGTATTGTGCCAGCCTGGCGCTTCCGCTGTGGCGTTCCGGCCCCGCGCGTGCGCAGAAGACATCATGACCTGCGCATGAGCAGTACGCTTGATCGCGGCGCAAGTGCAGTGGTGTACCCGCTCCGCGCATGCTCAGTAGTGTGACAGCCTTGCGCATGCGCAGTAAGCTGCCTGCATGGGGCTTGCCCTGTAGGGTTTTAGCTCGGCGCATCCGTAGTAGTGTGCCAGCCCGGCGCATGCGCAGTAGGCAGCATGACCGGCGCATGAGCAGTAGTTTCCAGTCTGGCGCATGCGCAGTTGTGTGCCAGGCTCGCGCATGCGCAGTACGCTTCCTGCTCGGCGCTTGCGCTGTAGTGTGACAGCCCGGTGCACGCGCAGTACGAAGCGATATTTAATGTTTAAAAACAGGGATTTCTATGAAAATAAGCGATATTTCAGGGAAAAAACAGGGATTTCTATGAAAATAAGCAATATTTTAGGTTAAAAACAGGGATTTCTACGAAAATAAGCAATATTTAAGGTTAAAAACAGGGATTTCTAGGAAAATAAGTGATATTTAAGTTTAAAAACAGGCATTTCTATGAAAATAAGCGATGTTTTATGTTATAAACAGGGATTTCTATGAAAGTAAGCGATATTTAAGGGTTGAAAACAGGGATTTCTATGAAAATAGGCGATATTTTAGGTTAAAAACAGGGATTTCTGGGAATATAAGCAATATTTAAGGGGAAAAACAGGGATTTCAAGGAAAATGAGCGATATTTAATCGCTTGTTATGTGGTTTGGGTAGTTATGAGTAGTTGGTAGTTATAACTTAAGATATGGTGTTAGGATAAATGTAAGGGCTAAAGGGTTAGGGTTAGGGGTATAGGATGAGGGTGAGGGTTAAGGTTATAGGCTTAGGGTAAAGGTAAGGGCTATAAGGTTAGGGTTAGAGTAAGGATTATAGGGTGACAAGTATAGCGTTAGGGTCAGGGTGAGGGTTATATGGTTTGGGTGGGGGGGTTAGGGTTACAGGGTTAGGGTAAGGGTGTTATAGAGCTAGGGTAAGAGTTATAGGGTTAAAGGGTTCAGGTGAGGGTATTACAGGATTAGGATTAGGGTAAGGGTTATAGGGTTACAGGGCTAGATGGTAAGGATTATAGGGTAAGGATTATAGGGTTAGGGTGAGGGTTAAGGTTAGGATTATAGGGTTAGGGTTAGGCTTAGGGCAACGTTTAGGGTCAGGGCTGGGATAAGAACTAGCTAGGATTCGGGGGGGGGGGGGGGGGGGGTGGACCAAAAGGGATGGGGGAGAATGAAGACACGATGCTAAAAGCACCCAGGGACTGCAGGGAAACCGGTGCGGCACAGCCGCTGTATCCCCTCCCTACCCCACCCCCCCCTTCCCTTCCCTTCTGATTTCAGATCCTATTTGCCTCCAAACTTCCTGTAAAGGAGCCACGCTGCCAGGTCCAGATGGGGGATGCTGTGAAATTTCACCCTCAATCCAAACCAAAAACCTCCTCTCTCCGTCGCCCCACACGGATCTCAGAGCCAAGAAAGTTCCCATGGGTTTCCTGCTCCCAGTTGGATGTTGCCTGCAGCAGAACCCAAAACCTTTTATGACGTGCAAGGAGAGCCGGGGTGGAACAAAGCAGCTGCACAGCTCGGCCATGCCCAAGGTCAGTATTATTACAATATACTCTGACAAAAATAGAATCTCATTTCATATCAATACAACAACAACGGAAAAGAACCCCCCCCCCCTCAAAAAAAAAAACAGTTTTCTGTACTGTTAGCATTGCTGACATAGTGAAGCTCACTATTTACAGTTACAGTAGCCAGGGGTAAAATACTACCAGGGAGATCAGAGAGGGGAAGGGGAAAGGAAAGCACAGCAGGTGAGGGCCCTCCTGATCCAGCATGGCTTCTGGTTGTGGGACAGGGACGGAGGTAGTGAGAAGGCAATGCTCGTGTTTGGGTCCGTGTCCAAAAAAGAAGTGAAAAACAGCGAAGTGGGGGGAAAAGGGAGGAAAGAGGGGTGTAAAGAGATGGGGAAGAGGAACGTGAGGAAACCTGCGGTGGAAAGGAGCCCGCAGAGCCCCCCCCCCCCCTCAGGTAGGGAGAAAGTGTGTGGTGATGGAGTGCCGTCAGTTTGGGGGTTGGAGAGCCCTGGGCCACATCTCTGCTTGGCGGGGAGCTTCACGAGAAGGAGAGGAGCAAAAAGGGGGGGGGGGGAAAGCATCCCTCTCCCCCATCCTCACCTCCATCCTCCTGCGTTCAGCATCCTCCCCAGTGCTGGAGGTCCCGGGGGGGGCGCATGCCCCCTCTACGGGGCTGAGTGCTGCTCCTCGCAGTGCCCAAGCAAGGGCTGCCCGCTGCCCCACAGCCCCCAGTGCCCCCCAGCCATATCCTACTGTGCCATGGGAGCGCATTGGGGGGGGGGTCAGCAGGAGGAGGTGGTTGGGGAGGGGAGGGGGGTATGGGGGAGGATATGGGCGTATGGGGGGGGGATATGGGGGTACAGATCAGAACCAGGCTTTGGTGAAGCAACCACGCTTTCAGTAAAGCAACGATAAGCATTTCCGAAACACATCAGTGCGTACTTCTCATAGGAAAATATACACGATTGTATTTCATTCTCCAAAAAAAAAAAAAAAAAAAAAAAAAAACCGTTAAAAACAAAAAAGCAAACTATAGCCCAAACACAATATATTAGCTGGTCGGTTCTTTTTTTTGTTGTTGTTTTGTCGTTTTTTATATATATATATATATATTTTTTGTCGCCGTCGTCGTCGCCGCCGCCGTCTTCCATTCGTAACACTACGCTTTGCTCAGGTCCCACCTTTCCTCTCTCTTTTTTTTTTGTTTTTTTTGTAAATGTTTTTTTTTTCTTCATGCATTTTATAGCCTTTGAGAATAAATAAGCTCCATTTTGCTTCCACATCTCTAAAAACTGCAGCATTTTTAACTATTGTCGTTTCAACCGTGCAATTATTTTTTTTGTGTGTGTTTTTTTTTTTTTTTTGCAACACCCCTTTTTAAAAAAAAAATGGGAAAATACATATATATATATTCAAACTAAACCCTATACAACGCCAAAAAAAAAAATCCAAATTAAAAAAAAAAAAAAATTATACACAATTTGTAACTGTCAACAGTACAGATGAGCACGAGAAATAAAAACCGCAAAGATCCGAACGGATTCATAGAAGCACGAAGGAGGGTGTTGGTTTCTTAAGATTGTCGTTTCTCGTTGTCTTTTGAAAATTAGGAGGAGTTTCCTGGACTCTTATGGGGAATTAAATGACCTGGGCAGAATGATGATGACCCCGAGCTCACGATGGGATGGGAGAGAAATCCCAATGCGCCGACCCAAGGCGTCAGTGCTGAGCTGTGGCGTCGTGGCGCTGCTCCGGTTTGGCACGGCTTGGCGCACACAAAGCAGCCCAACTCCACGTGGCTGAAAGCAGTGATGCTTTACGGTCGTTCTGTTGGGTTTGTTTGGGTTGGGTTTTTTTGTATTTTTTTTTTCCTTTTTTTTTTTTTTCTGGCTCTCTGAGATGTGAAGTCAGGGCGTGAAGTCAATGAGCAGAAATGTTCCGTCGCCCTCCAAGCGCCGCGCTGCTGCCTTCCCGCTCCTTTGCGGGGCCGGAAAAACGTTTGGTTGCGGTGTTATTTTTTCTTGCAGGACGGTCAGGAAAAAGAAAAGAAAATGAGAGCGACGAGACGTCGTCAATCCCACCTAATTTCCAAAGCGAGGCCGTGCAAAGAGCTGCCATGTGGGTCCGATGCACGCAGGGTGCTGGCGGTGTGGCTGCTTCCTAGATGGACGCGGGGACAGAGCTGGGACAGAGGGATGGAGCTGGGACGTGGGGACAGATCCACGTCACCTCGGTGTGGACAAGAAGCCCGGCGCACACCGTGCAGGGTTTGAGGAGGAGGGAGAAGGATTGGGGCACAGAATCTGCCCACGTGGGTCCCCCCCACCCCCGGAGTGCCACAATAGGAATGGAACATCAAAACATTTTGCATTCGGAACCAGATCAGCCTTTGGGGAAATGGTGGCAAACGGGACTTTTCAAAGGGTTTCAGCAGGAGGTCGCTGCCAGCACACCTCTTTCAGCTCCGCGCAGGGATTGTGGGGCTGCGTTGGCTCCGTGCTGCCTCTCCACAGCCATCACCGTTCACTCCCATCTGAATTTTCGGAGGCCTTCCTCTGACTGCTTGCCTTAAGTTGCCCACATTCATTTTCATCACAATCCGCCCCAGTGCAACAGGTTGGACTGGAACCTAACTCTGCTGGGATCTCTGGGAGGAGGCAGACGCACAGCCCTCATCCCCTGGGGAACTCCCTGTGCAGGATGAGTTTAGGTGCTGGGGCAGGTTCTGTGTCATTCTGCAACCACAAGCTTCAGTGGAGAGGAACTGTGCAGCCAGAGGACCGTCCTCACAGTCCTGAGCAGGGACAGGGGCAGAGATGGCACCACAAAGCAGCTCCAGAACTTCCCCTGCTTCCCTCGTGCCCTTTTTCCTTCCACTGAACCAGGTGGCTGAGGCTGCTGCAGAGATCCTGCGCAGCTCAGTTCACTCCTCCTGAGGCCTTCAGGCAAAATCCTTAAGGACGTTATTTCAGTGGCAATCCTTAAATAACAAGGATTTACTCCTAGCTTCTAACTTAAAGCTTCGACCCATACAGAACAGGGAATGCATTTTAGACACACTTGCAGCATTTTTTTTTGGTAAAACGACTGTTTCTCCCAAACTAGCCCTGCCTCAGCCAAGCACCCTGCGGGGCTCGGTGGGACCTCAGCAGAGGTGGCTGAAGGTTTTGGATGATTGTGGCCAGAAGCAGCGGTGCTCCCTTCTCTGCAGGGAAAGATGATGATGTCCACAACCACCTCTCACCCAAACAGCAAAGATCAAGCCTTAAACCTGTCTCGTGTTCCCCCTACACCTCCAAGCAATGCTGCAGCACACAGCCTTGTCCCATGGGACTGAACCATCCCCTCCTGCCCAGGCTGTGGGGAGGCCCTCAGGGATGCTCAGCACCTGCATCGCTGCACCAGCGCAGCCCCACAGCCCCCAGCTCCAATCCCTCTCCCTTTGACTTCCTTGCCACCCAACCTGGAACTCACAGCTCCCAGCTGTACGAACTGCGTGCGTCGCCCGTTGTGCTAGAATGAATGCCTACAAAATCCTAAAGCTATTTCTCAGGCAGTTTATGATAATCTCCCCACCCCAACCCCTAAAACCCGTTTTTGTCCCCAGAATCCTCCCCTTCCCCCCCCTCCCCTCCCCGCTGCGAGCCAGCGGCGCTCCTGGGGATGACGGGGACCCGTTATGTGACCCAGGTATCCAACCGCATGCGTTTCACTGAAGGGCTCTCCCCCTCGGCCTCACCGCCAGGGCGCAGTAGCCCCAGGGAGGAGCTGAAGTCGGTGCGAGTGGGATCATCTCGCTCACTGCCCTCGTAGGAGCTGGTGTTGCTGCTGAGGCTGTCGACAGGCGAGCGGCCGGTGGGCTCGTGGCGGGGCTGGTGGGGGAAGGTGCTGAGTGGGGTGGCAGTGTTTCGTTCCCGGTTGGGTGAAACGGGCTCCGACTTGATGCTGATGTTGGGGTTGGTGTTGACAGTCAAAGTGGTGGTGTGGGACAAGTGGCTTCCTTGTCTGAGCATCCACAGGAGCAGGGGAGGGAGGGGAGGAAGGGGAGGAGGAGACAATGGGAAGCCTCTCGTTACTCATCGTTCCAGCAGCCCTCTGCCCATCCGCAGAATTCATCACCCACCCTTCACTGCAAACACGACATCCCTACCAGGCCGGGACCTGATCCTGCCAACCTCATCCCCACCGGGCTGGAGCCCAGAGCAGCTCCCCAGCACAGCACCCCAAAGGCAGAGAGCATTCAGCAGTGCTCAGCCTCACCAACGGTTGTGCAAAACCATCAGAGCGTGGGGTTGTCTGGGCACTGCAGAGCTCTTGAGCTCCTGACCAAAGGATGAAGCACGCCCTGGAGCCCCTGCTGGGCAATGCACAACCTGCTCTGAGCAACTTGTGCTAGAGGCAGGTGCAAGCAGCTTTCCCCTGCGGAGGCTTTAGGGCTCCCACTGAACTCCTCCGTTTCTTCAGTCCCTGCTTCTTTCTGTTCTGCAGTCTCTGTGCAACCAAGAGCGAGCTGTTTCAATCTTTATTTCGACTGCAGTACTGTGAGAAAGCTCTGTGAGTGGGGATGCTTTATTTCCAGCTCCATTTCAGAGCACCTGTTCCAGCAGGAGTCTGCATGGATGGTTTTTTGGTTTTTTTTGGAGTAAAGCAATTCATTTTCCATGTTACAAATAGCCTTCCCTACGATGCCAGGACCACTATTAGCAGTTCCCTTATCTGCCATGCCTACTCCATGCCCTCTTCCTCTCCCGTGTCAGAAGGGAGCAATGCTCCTGCTGCACTTGGGCAGCCAGCTCCAAGCCATGGCTCTCAGAAAGCAGCACCCAGCCCTGACCTTGCCTGGGGACTCCCAGTCACCTCTGGGACAGCGGTGCCCAATTCCCTCCGCATCATTTTATTACCATTTGTACCATCAGCTGAGTGGCCCTGGGGCTCATTTCACTTACATTAAATTTCCTAGTGATACAGGAACCAGGTGCTGCTGCTGCTGTTGTTGTTGCTGCTGCTGTTGCTGCTGCTGCTGTTGCTGTTGTTGCTGCTGCTGCTGCTGCTGTTGCTGCTGCTGCTGCTGCTGCTGCTGTTGCTGTTGCTGTTGCTGTTGTTGCTGCTGCCAGGCAGAGATGTTGCCAAGGGACAACCCACCAGGTGAGCTGAATGCTGGCAGTGAAGATAACTCAGCACTTGTCAGCTGATAATCTGGAAGGGAAGGAGCTCTTCAGTCATTTCAATGTCAGGGCTTCTCTGACCCAGCCCTGGGCACTGCAGGAAGACAGAGACCCACTCAAGAGGTACAACAGAGCCGTGCCTTTCTGGGGAATAGCTCAGGGACTCGGCAGCTTCATAGAGATGCTGGGCATGGGAGGTGACTCTTCCAGCTTCGAGGCTTTTACTGTCAGAAACATAAACACTGCAGTGCCCTTGGTTCTCTCCAGTACCACACAACCACGGACATCCATGTGCAAATGCACACACGGAGACAAAGGGGACAGATTCAGTCCCTTACAATCTGCACATCCACCCTACAGCCAGTCTGAGCAGCTGGCAGAGAGGGGGCAGAGCCAAACCCACCTGTGTGCCTCCCCTCCTGCCCCCACGGCCATAAGGAGCAGGGGGGCAGGAGGGCCACTCAGTCTGCGCATCCCAGACCCACTTCTGCACAACCACAACCGGCTTCTGAGCATCAGCAGATGGCGCTCCCTCCCCATAGGAGGAGGCCAAGCTGCAAGGAGCCTGCCTCGAAGCAGGACCCACTGCAAGGAGCTGCACAGCCCAGCAGGAGGACCCAGCCCAACACTCTGCAAGTTGCCAAGGTGGCAACTCCTCAGCTACGCAGCACGGGGAAGGAAGCTGCTCTTCCAAGAGATGGCCAAAGCTTTGATCAGCCCTTTCCTCAGAGCCACGTCTGCATCTGATAGGGATGCAGATGCTCGATGCTGATCTGCCCTCACTCCACTCCTCCCCACTGCCTCTGTCATTTTGGGTGCCTGTGGTTTCAGCTTCCCCACCCCTGCAGCAGCAGCAGCAGCACACAAAGGAGGCTGCCAGGCAGCAAGCAATGCTGGCAGGCTGACGGCAGGCACTCCCTGCACAGCAGCAGCCCCATTCTCACCCCATGAGAATTCCCACTAGCGCTGGTCCTTCCACTTCTGCAAACACCCCCAGGTCTGACGACCCCGAGCAGCGCAAGGAAGGGCACACAGCTCCTGTAACCTCAGCAGCCCCACAGGGAGGACATCCCTAGGTTAGAAGTGGGAGGAACAAGGAGCAGCACCCAGGGCTTGGATTTGGTGCAGACATCTGCACCCCATAGCGATGTGAGCCCTGCCAGCCCTGTGGCATTCAGACATCCCAGCCACAGGCGCCCGGGTGGGAATGGTTTCTCTGCCTGCGGCTAAGCTGCAGGAGGAAAATAAATACCAAAAGATAACAACCAGCTCTACCCCCCGCCCCCCCTACAACCCCCCACCAAGACTTGTAGCAGTGCAAGGCCCAATTAAAACCTATTTCGGGGACTTTAGCAACACCCAGACTCATTGGTGGCCCGCACCGACTTCCACACAGGGGGAGAAGTCAAACAGGCATCTCCTGGGCTACACCTATTAATTATGTGAGGGAGTTCCCAGCACGCCTATCCTGGGTTCTTCCAGACGAGCAGCTTTCTGCATTTCTTCCAATTTTTTCTCTGAGCAAACACCAAAGTGAGTGATGAGGGAAAACATCCCTGCATCACTCCCTGGTGCCCCCGGGGGTTTGGGCAGGCTGCAGGTGAGCAGCCCCTTTGCTGGAGTTGCCTTGGGCTAGCACACACCTCACCAGCCCTACAAGCAGGATGGTCTGCATTCTTTCCAAACTTTTGGGTCCCTGACGCTCATTTTCATTAAGCCCCTATTACAACATCACTTGCAGCTTTCGAGAGAGCCCTGAGATGGGCGTAGCTGCAATTAACATCCACTTAAAAGCATCTTCACGCTGCCAACACCACGTAATGGGCTACGGCATGAGAACCGTGCCCTCACAGCCTTCCTGGATACAACAGCGAGTTCCCATTCTTAATATAATGAGTTTCCCCTTTGTTTTCATCTCGTGAAACTCTTGGCCTCCGACCGCATCTGGCAGCGGTGAGCTGCACCAGATGCTCTCTGCAGCCATTCAGGGAGATGTGCAGGAGGTGGCAGCGCCCTCACCTGTGTTGTACGCAGTCGGCATGGCAGAGAACGGCAGCCCCTGTGTCAGCAGGCTCGGGGTGGCCACAGAAACAACCGGTGTGGTTAGAGAGTGAGTCGCCTGGGAGACACCTAACCGCTGTGTGTTCTGCTGGGGAAGCAAATGGAAGCTGTTACAAGGCGGCCCGCTGCACCCCAAGCCCCAAACCCCAGCAGGTTCCAGACACCCACGACCTCCGTGAAGCTCACGGGCAGCTCAGGGAGCCCTTGGATCACTTTTCTGCTCAGGGCTGGGGGTTTTCTGCACTGTGCTGCAGCAGCGAGGTGCCTGTTTGTAAGGCACAAATCCTTACAAGCCCCCCTGCCCATGCTGAAACAAAACCAGCTGCTATTTCCCAGAGGATGCATGCGATTGCCTTCACTGCACTGGGAGAAAATCACGGTACGAAATCAGTGCCTGGTGCTGCACAGGGCTGCTCCTCCTGCAGCACGGGCAAGCCCCTGGCCTCCAACACAAGATGCAGACGTGAGGCACAACTGAGAGGACTGTAAGGGTGCTGTGGCATCCTAGAAACCAGCTCTCAGCAGCCCCTGGGCTTGGTGCCCTCACGAGGTTGGGGTGACTCAGGCATTAGCAGGGTCCCTGGTGGAAAAATCCTGCGCTCATCTGGGTGCACGCCAGCCTCTCCCCACGGCTCTTCAGGCGGTTACGTGGGCAGATCTACGGGTCAGCTTCAGCCCTGTTTACAAGGCAGATAATCTGGGCTGCCTCTGCTGATCTGATTTAAATCAGACTCAAGAGGCTTGCCTCTAATCTGCAGCACCCCCGGCACACGTCACCTCGTGAAGCCTGGGGCACTGCCCAGCTCCCAGCACGCCTGGCACGAGGCTGCTGCATCCCCTGGGGCACAGCCTGCACCAGCACAGCAGCACCCAGGGCTGCCATGGAGTTTTAGGGCCAGGCATGGGTGTCTGCACCAACACAGGATCTCCTGGGGTGCACTCAGCACCTCAACCCTGCCCTAGAAGGGTATGCAGCACCCACCCGCTGCCGAGGAAGGCAATTAGCTGGGTGCTAATTGCTGAAGAGCTGAGGCCGTCAGAGGTTTTCCTGGCTTGCATCCTGCTGGCAGTCACCCTAGGGGGTGCCCACTGCCCCATAGGGCAGGGATGCTGAAGGGGAATGCCATCACCAGGAGCTCATCCCCTGCAGTCTCAGGTGTGTGGCCTTGCCATGCCACAAAGCAGCACCTAGTTTTAATCCCAAACCATGCAGGCAAAAGGTGCTGACATGTGCAAGATGCCACACATAGGTTGCAAAATACCCTGAGTGGCAAGCTGCCACTCAGGCTTGTTACAAAACCATGCAGTCATGCTCTCAGGTGACATGGTGGTGCACTGGTGGAACAGATTCTGCCCTATGCTTACAATGGGAAACAGCCCATGGCATGCAGAAACATGGAGGGGTTTCACCTTCCTGACCCCACTAAAAGCAGCTCCACAGCTTACATTGGGGTGGCTGGGAGCATCCTGGGGAGAGCAGGCGGGTGACATCCCAGGGAAAAGAGAGCTAGGATAAGAGCTGGGGGCAACATGCAGGGAGGGGATGCAGAGAGGTGGGTGACTGCAGCACTGAGCCTGCAGAGCAGCTGTGGGCAGATGGCCCCCACCTGCAGAGCTGTGCCAAGCTCCCTGTCCCTGTCCCCCTCCTGGATTCTGTCACCTCGCTGCCAGCTGGGGTTGGGCAAGGACCACATTTTGCTACAGGCAGAGTCAGCCTGGCAGCTCCAATTAAAACTATTCATGCTAACCTGGCTGATTTTTGCCTAAAGCCAGCTGCTCCTTCAGGCAATGCCCTGCGGCAGAGGGAAGGGTGAAGTGGAGGTGCTGGCTGTTTGGAGGCTGCAGGTGGGGAAACTGAGGCACAACGCTGCCAGGAATTCGGGTAGGGAAGGGAGGTTTGTAGGGCACGGAGAGGAGCAGAATTCAAGTCTGCAAAAGCCTCAGCCAGCCCTGGCCCTGGCCAAGTATCTCCTCGCAGGCTGTGAGAGGTCCTGCCTCACTCCTGTGCTTTTGGAAAGCTTTTCCCTGGCTGTGTTTGCTGCATCCTACAGTGGCTCTCGTCCTTTCCTCACTGCGCTGACCTGTCGCCCATCTGCCCTGAACCAGAATAGCAACAGAAAAGGGTGAATCATTGCCACAAACAAGGTGGTGTTCACTTTGCTGGCAGAAAGGAAAAAAAAAAAAAAAAGAAAAAAAAAAAAGCCATAAAAATAACACAGAAAATTGCCCCTGTGCACAAACAAGGGCTGGTGCACGGGTGAGCCAGGCAATGGATTCACACAGGCTGTAAATAATAGCTTCATAGGAAAATAGGAGAGAGCCTATGCTACTCTCCCCCCCCGCTGCGGGCCAGGTTTCCCCATGCCCCCTCATGGGGACAGCAGTGCCCAGGTTGGCTGTGTGGCACACAGGCACACGGGGTGAGTCCCTAAGGAGGATGAACCACCTGACAGCTTGCGTGACAGCCTGCAGCTCAGCCCTTCCTTCCGATTTGTCTAAAAACAAGGGGGGTTTTGTAGCTCCTTTAAGGAAGGGGGCAGCGACATCGATGCCGCGCTCTCAGCAGAGTGGCCAGTCAGGGATGCAGGGACAAACGGGAGAAGCGGCCCAGGTCACAACCCCACCACAACGCACTCTCAGTGTCACTCACCAGAGCCAGGTGATCCTCCGTCTGCCCGCACAGGAACGGGGAGAAAACCAAGAGGCACCATTAACCCGCTGCCCTCACCCACCGCCGCCGCACCCCGCGCTTGCCGGCTGCTCGCAGGGACGGGGCGCGCGTCGCACGCCGGGTGACATTCGTGCGCGCAATGAGGGACACGCAGCGGGTTCGGTGCAAAGGGAAACGCAAAGGGAAATCCTCCCAGCTCCCACCGGCACAGAGGGGAAGAGGTGCCTGTACCGAACCCACGCTGGTGCCAAGCTCCCTGGCAGTGCCACGCGGCGCTGCTCACCAGGTGGTGCATCAGCCCTTTGCCGCTCTGCGAGGTGATGACGCGCAGGTCCGGCTTGCGGCTGTTGGTGGCGAGCTGCGTGCTGTGGGGTGGTGGTGGAGGGGACTTGGCTGGGATGATCTTGCCCAAAGTGCTGCCGTTGGAGACGGGAAGGAGACCAGGGGAGGCACGAGCGCTCACGTAGCCGTTGCCTGCGGGAGAACGGCCACAAGGTGAAACGCGTGGCGATGGCGAGCCCTGCGAAGCTGTCCTGGGTGTGCAGAGCAGGGATGCAGACCCCCATGCATTGAGCAGCTCCTCGCCTGCAGGAGCCCACGGGCATCACCGCAATGCTGCAGTGCTACCTTCAGCACGACCCCTGCACGCTGCTGGTAGCAGGGCAGCAGGGCCCTGTCGAGGCGGATAATTGCTCTCACGTTCACTTTTGAAGCTGCTTTTCGGCAGCAAAAAGGGCTGTGGGCAGAGCGGAAGACCTGGCGCACTGATCCCACTGCCCCTTTGAAGATCTGAGAGTCCCTCCTCCTCCTCCTCCTCCTCCTCCCGCTGCCCCACTTAAGGATTTTATGTGCAAAGAGGAGAAGGCAAAAAAAAAAAAGAAGAAAAAAGGGAAGGAAAAAAAAAAAATTTAAAAAGGAAAAGATTTGATGAACATCAGGAAGGGAATAAATTGGATCAGATTACTGTTCTGATGAGGGCTTTTTTTTTTTTTTTTTTTTTTTTTATGAATAGGCCCCAAAGATAGAAAGGCGTTTAGCAATCACCAGGATTCAGCCCTCGTATTCACTGCACGTTAGACCAGGAAAAATAGGTCGCTGATTGCATTATTAATCACATCTACCACTGCTCTACATCTGCATTTCAGCTGGCAGCGGCAACGCTGCAGCCATGGCAGGTGCCCACTGCCGCCCCAGGCCAGGCACACTGGGGATGGGATGAACCTGGCGAGGACACAGCCTTGCCCCCCAACCCTGAGATGGGAACAGAGCCTAAAGGAAAGTTAAAACTTGATGCTTTTGTTGCTGAGATGGCATCAACATCAATGCGCACGCGTGCAGCTCCAACGGCAACCACAAATTCGAGGTATGCTGCCTCACGACGGCGGGCAGCTGTTGAGGTGGGTGGGCAGGACACCGGTGCTGTGGGGTTGGGGTGGACGTGTCTAATGAAGTAAAACGCCTGCCATGCTGTGCCTAGACGGAACAACAACGTGCTGCTCTGCACAGGGGAAAAATGCACGAATGCAACATCTTCAAAAGTGTAAAGATGCCCAAACGCAGGGAGGCTGATGGACGCAGTGAGCACAGGGTGTTTCCCTCCAGATGCAAGGTGGCACAGCAGAATCTGCATGGCTGCAGAATCCAGGCCGCGGCCACCCGCAGCTGATGACTCAGAAGCTGCAGGTAACCTCAATCCCGCAGAGCGCGCGAGGAAGAGGAGGACAGGAGGACGAGATGCCCCAGGGACACAGAAGCCCCCCGTGGACGGAGGGCAGGCAGGGCTGGCCGTGCCCCGCTCCTCACGCCCGTTTCCTGGAGCGGCGGCAGGAACGCGGGGAATGCTGCGGTGCTGCGGTGACGTCAATGCTGACATTCAGCAGCTCTGCCAAGCTCCTCGCTGCCACGGCTGCTCACAACAGCTGACGTGGGGGCGGCGGGTGGCTTTGGGGGGCAGCAGGGCGGGGGGGTGCAGCCCCACACAGCCCCCCTCTCCCTTCTAGCAGAAGCCACCCCATCCCCACGCGGGCTGGCGGTGCTGCAGAAGTGCTTCCGAACCAGTTTGGGTTTCACTGGGGTTAATGCCAATAGCCAGGCTTCTCCAGAGTGAGCCTCTGGCAAAACTAGCATCAAAAGGGACAATCAGGGGGCAGGGCTCTGCTCGCCTGGGACAGCAGGTGCCAGAGGCTGTGTGTTGGCTGACCTGAGCCGCGGGCAGGAGGCATTATTAGCTCATTTTATAGCCGGGGAGTTAAGCCACACGGCCTGAGCTGAGTTAGTGCTGGGGCTCTCGCAGTGGAAAGGGGCCTTAATGAGCTTTTTTCCTCGCTGTAAAGTTCCTTTACAGGGCCCAAGTGCATGGAGGAATCAGGTGTTAAGTAACTCAGCTGAGGTCAGCGGAGGAGCGGGTTTCAGCTCGGGGTGCTAAAGCCCAAATCAGGTCTTCTTTTGTCTGCCAAAAGCCAAAGCTCTTTGGTTTGTAGCTCTTCCAAAGAGCAAGGACCTCAGCCCCATGAAGCACATCACTTCCCTGTATCTCTGATGGAACATTGCAGAGAGGCTGGCCTGGAGCATCTCCGGCAAAGCCTCTCGCTGCCAAACCCTCCTTAGCATTTCTCCATTCCCCAAATGTGCTGGGTTGAAAGGAAAACACACATTCCTGTCTTATTGATGGGAAATGGAGGCACAGAAGAGAGAAAAGAGCCCAGCCTGCTAGTGCCAGCCCCACACTGCTCCTCACTTACCCACAGGACTCGGGCAAGCTCCGTTGGTGTTGTTCAGGTCACCCCCAAGCATCGCCCCTATGAAACAACCAGAAACACGGGGTCAGGGCCATGCTGAACATCGCTCCTGGGGGAGGGAGGAAGGCAAAGGAAAATCAGCAGTGCTGCATTCCCGGCGAGAAAGTCCTGGGCAAAATGAGCAGCATTCCTGGTGATCAGGTTTGGAAACAATATCCAGGCAGATCCGTTTCCTTTGGGCAGCAGCCAGGCGGCACAAGGGCCTGGTCCAAAGCACACGGCTTGGAAAACACTGTGGCTATTTTGTTCCAAGCCTTCTGGAGGTACACAGGGGCTGTGCTGCAGGGAAATGAGCCCCAACAGCACAGTGTGAAACACTATCTGCCCTGTAACGTTTGCACCGAATGGAAACCACCCCTAACACTGCCAGCGCTGCTGCAACGCTGCCTTCCGTGGCTCTGCTGCACGAAGGTGAATGCTTGGACAGCACTGGGAAAAGCAAAGCAGGGGCCTCAGGCTGCCCAATAACAGATCCAGCTCCATCACCCCGAGACAGGAAACTGCATCCAGCCACTGCTGTCAAAGCAGGGCTCACGGTGGCAGCAGGCCCTTGAAAGCACCAATGCCAGCATGCTGCCGCGCAAGAAAGGCATTTTGTTCCCCATGTGAAAGCGTGATCATGGGTGTCGTGGTCCCAAAAATACTTTATTTGGCAAAAGGGTACAGAGTTCCCTAGAGCATGGCAGGCACCATGCTCCCTGCAGGGGATGGGGATGCAAACAGGGTCTTGGTTCCATTGAAGTCCTTGAGCAGACGGCAGCAGTGAGCACTGAGCAAGCTCCACGCCAGCACTGCCTTTGCTTTGGAAACAATAACGCAGCTCGCTGCATTCCTCTTGACTGCATTGTTAAAAAAAAATTTTATATATATATATATATATATATATATATATATATATATATATATATATATATAAAAGAAATAGCTTGTCTCACATGCAAGGCTCTGGCTCCTATAAACAGGATTTCTTCCGTGTCCCAGGCAGTGAGTGAATGAAATGCAGATGGTTGGACTTGGAACACCTCAGTGCTCGCAACCACAAAATTATTCCCCCTTGAAACAAATGTTTCGTGAGCTGGATGGAAACGGCAAGCGCCGAGCAGGCTCTGCTTGACAGCAAAGCCTCTTTTTTTCTGCAGAGGCCAGCAAGAGGGCAGGGGTGATGCCTACAGACAGAGCCACAGCGCAGGAGGGAGATGCTGCTCTTTGGAACCAGCAAAAAGATCCCTTTTCCTCTGAAATCTGGGGCCCTGCTCCTCATGCCCAACTCCTTCAGTCTTTCAGAGAGCCAGGGCAGCCAAACCAACACTGCCTCTGCCATTTGCAGCCCAAACGACTTTTACAGACCATCTGCAAGGACCGAAATAGCAAGCAGGGGCTTTCTGCGTGCTATTATTATTTATGATGGCACCGCAGGAGAGTCGGGCTGCGGTCACATGTCCCCCTCACTGCAGGGAGCGCGGGTGACGAGAGCCTTTCCCCAACCTGCTCTCACCACCCCACGCCAGTCCCCGCTGGAAAGGACCACTCCTCGGATCTGTCAGCAGGTCTGTGTGAGTAATCGCTCAGCAACCAACTGCAGCCACCGCAGGCTGAGGCAACAACAAAAAAAAAGGCCCTTTTTAGGCAGCGGTCCCACGTCCCCGGCGGCTCTGGGACACAAGCAGCCAGACCTGGGCTGGGAAAGACACCGGGTGACTCACAGCCACTCGCACCGCCTGATGTGAAATATCCTGATGTGGAAAAGCAAGGGTGATCCCTGGGCAGGGAGCGGTCGCTTGGAGTTTTGGGCTTCTTGCAGAGGGGATGTAGGACCACTCACCTGCGCTGGCTGGCCGCTGCGGCAACCCTGGGGACACGGTGTTCCTCTGCAGTGCTGGTTGCTGTGGTGAGAGGAGCCGGGGGTCAGTCAGCGATGAGGTTACCAGGGATTGGGTCACCAACGAGCTGCCCGGGCTGCTGAACTGCAGCGTGTTCTGGTTGGTCACAGGAACCGTCACTGGCATGGCAAAGTTTGGCGTGGGCACTGCAGACTGAAGAGAGAGAGCAGGAGGTGAAGGGGAGCAGGCAGAAGGACGTGCTCACTTTGCAGGCTCCCAGCAAGGGGGGGAGGGGGCAGATCCTGCCTGGGATTGGCAGCAGCGTCCCATGGCTGCAGGGGAGTCAGCGTGGCCACCCCAAGCCTCCACGCTGCTGCACTTCCATCTGCACGGGGTGTGATGCACTCATCCATCTCAGCATCTCGGGGCAGCACTGGCACAGGAGCCCAGACAGACTCCTGTGGAACAGCACGGAGTCTGCCTAGACACATCACAGATTTGCCACTGGCTGCTTTCTCTTTCTTTTTAGGCCCACGTTTATTTTCCCGTCATGTTTTCAGAGCTCAAAGCATCAAAGAGGGGAGAAGTGCCGTGGGGTTCCCCTTGCAGCACCGCCCCCTGCCCCTCTGCAGAGTGGCTCCAAGTGCCAGGGACAGGCTAGCAGCGCCTCGTGCCCTCCAGGTGACACTGAGGTCTGTCCTTCCACCACCAGGAGCTGTGGGGCAGGAGGAGGAGGTGACCCGGTGGGAGCAGGAGGACGGCTCAAGCCCTATCCTTGTCTGCAGGTCGAGGACCAGCTTCACCTACCAGCGTCCCCACAGGAACCAGACTCACCGTGATTATCCCATCAGCCTTTCTTATGTCACTGATTTGCTCTTCATTAACAGGAACAGGCACCTGCTTAGAGGCTTTAGCAGGGGCTTTGTTAAAATCCCACTTTAATTTGCCAAGGGCTGGGAAAGCAGAGCGCTCAGTGCCACCAGGCAACACCCAGCGTCCCCACCAAACACACCAGCAGGCGTGGAGGGAGCCAAGTTCCCAGCACCATGGTGTTACAGGGTGCTGTTCCTGGTGGTTGAATTCCTTTAAGGGGAGAGGAGAGGAGGGAAGAAGGGACGGTGCTCACCAGGCTCACTGCTGGAAACCCTCCCACCCGCTCAAGGGCATCCTGTCCTTCAGAGATCCTGTGGCCCCGAGCTGGCGCTGCAGCACGGCTCCAAGGGCTCTGGGGACTGGCGTGTCCCCTCCCAGGGCTGTACAAGCCTTAACACAGCCCTGGCCCTGCAACCAGGGGTTGCAACCAGCTGCAAACAAACAAACAAACAAAAAAAAAGGTGGGGGGCCACGGGGAGCCTGGCAGGTTTTGTCAGGTGTGTGAACAGCGTGGCAGCATTGTGCAATAAATCACTGTAAGCACGTGTGTGTGCGTTCCCAGAAGAGGGAATGAAGAGCAAAACCCGGTGCCTCACATCCTCAGCGAGGATGATCAGAGAGCAGCATCCAGCCCCTGTGTCTCCATGCTGCTGCCAGGCCAGCGTGCGACTGGGACCCAGCACCAGTGCCTGGGGGTAGCTGGGGCACAGGGGCTGCTTGGACGCACTCACACCTCAGTCCAAAATCTGGGGAGAAGATGCACACATCAGCCAAGCCCTAATGATGTCTGATTCTGTCAAAAGCCATTGCAAACACGCTCCGAGCGCAGAGGGACTCTCCACAGCGAACGCGGCTGCTGTTAGCTAACGAGCCCAGTTAGTTCTCATCACACACAAAAACACTCCAGCTGGTTAAAAAGGAGAAGCGTCACCTTCAACAGCACACGCTCTGCTGGAACTGCTCCATCCCCACTGCACAGGGGGTTTAGACAAGGAGCCGGATGCTCTGCCTTGAACCCCCAGCACCCAAATGCCCCCCTGCCCAAAAACACAGGCAGGCCAGGGCTAGTGCAGGGGCTGCAAGGGGATGGAGCTGTGCCTCCACCCCAAGCAAGCCCTGGTGGGGTCAAAATCTCTTCCCTAAAGAGCGAGATGCCACCGAGGCAAAACGCCTCGTGCTTTGCAAGCTGAGTCAGCAAAACCAAAGGGGATGGATTTCAAGACCCAATTTTCTTGAAAAGCCAGAATTTTTAACCTGTGTGGGCTCGCAAAGCGTGGAAGGGCAGATATCTTTTTTTTTTTAAGGTCGGGAGGGGGCTGTGTCGTTTCCTATTGCTGCATCCAGCCCTTGAATCCAGCCCTTAGCCTCCCTGCAGCGTCCATGATGGCTGCAGTGACACGGGGCTAATCCCACTGAAGGAGGTTTGCCTGCACCGCCAGCCCTCGCTCCCACTGTTAACAACTAATTTGACACGCGTTCCCCCCTCCCGTCTTCTGACACAAATCCCTTCCAGCGCTGTCCTGATGCCACCCCGCTGACGGGCCTGGGATCACGGGCTAAAACCTCACTGGATTTCTGCCATGGCCACCAGCTGCCCTGAGGGCTTGATGGATTTGGGTGGAATTAAGGCAAAATGGCCCAAAGTGTGCTGACCCAGTGCTCCTCCCTGCTAGCTCACAGGGGCCTGGGGCTCTTAACCCACGGAAAACCCCTTATGGGGGGCAAAAGGGTGGCCAAGGAGACTCAAATCCAGTACTCATGGACAAAGGGCAGATGAAGACCTGACCCAGAGCCCAGGGATGCTGGCTGAGTCGCCCGGGGGGCTGCTCCCACATCTCCAGCTGGGAGACCAGAGGGTCCCCAACAGCTCCTGGTGCCGCTTCCACCACCAGCCACTTTCCCCCCTTTTCTGCCCTCGTTTCCTGCCCCTCTGGGTGCATTCAGGGCCCTGGTTCCCACGGCACAGCACGGCTCCAAAGCAAAGCCATGCAAGACCCCCGTCACCCAGAGGCAGCCGGGGCGGGAAGGGCTGCAGGCCACCAGCTACTCACTGCGAGCCGGTAACTCTGCATCATTTTATCAAACTCCTCATCAATCTTTTTATATTTCTCCTCCGTCTGCGGGGTCAGTGCAAACACTTCATCCCCTTCCGGGCTTTCGCATTCCCTGTGCTTCTTGTTCAGCGCCTGTGTGACGTTGGGGGGGGAGGGGGAAGGGGGAAAGGGGAGGAGGGAGGGAAGGGGGCAGCAGGGGTGTTGGGGAAGGAGTGGGGACGAGGTTGGGGGGGAAATCGAACAGAAGAAAAACAGAATAATGAAGGCTTTCCGGCCACAGAGCAGCTACTTACACCGTATCGCTTGAACAGGATATCCAGATCCTCGCTGCCTTTACGGTATTTATCCTCCATCAAGGGGCTCTGGTCTATCGAGTCATCTCCGTCGGGTTCCGGGCTGTCACAGCCATTAAAACCTTTCTTTCTTAACGTCTGAAAACACAATCAGGACAGTTTGAGACCTGGGACTGGTGGGGTTCTCCCGGAATGTCCCTGCAGCACAAAGGTGGCATTAAATGATAGGGATGGATGGAGGGAAAAACTGCCTAGATCTCAAAAGAGCAGCGTGTGCTGGTGCTGAATTTGGACCCATACGAGCTCAGATGAGGGTTTTGTCACCTCCAGTCAGCACGATGACAAGGAGGGGAAATGAACCTCGAGGATGGGATGCACCCTCCTGCTAGAAATAATAGGTAAGATGTTATTGCACATAGAAAACAGGGCCAAAAAGCAGACACAAGTCCTGGTCATCTGCGCTCCCTTATGCAGGAGCTTGGCAGGATGGGCACTCAGCAAAAAACCCAAGCAGGGTTTGAGCAAAAAGTCCCTCTTTTCACACAGCAGAAGCCAATCTGCAGCCTGTGCTACGCGTGCACATTTAATCATTTTATTTTCAAAATACCAAAAGCAATTAGGCGTTATTATGGAACCATCACTTGCCAATTTTTTTTTTTTAAGTCGAAGCTACAGAATTTCCTGGAATTCTTGATCTCTTTTCATGCCAAATTCAGAAGGGGGAAAAATAAAGGCCTTGACAATTCTCCTCTTCCCTTCCTAAACAGCTAAAAACACCTCTGCTTCAAGGCCAAAACATCCTGGAGCCGTTCTGCTCTACCTGGAGCCATGCAGGCAGTGCAACCAGGAGCTGTTTGCCTCCCACTGCCATCCCAGTAAGCTCCCCTCCCTCCAGCTGAAACCCCTCCGTCTTTGCACCCGTGCTTCAACGCCAGCCACTTTCGACGTCATCCAGGCTTGCAGAAACCAACACCATTTTGCCAGCCATGGCGCTCACGTGGTAAATTCAGCAGCAGCAGCAAGGAAAACCAGCAGATTCTGACATCACCTCTCCAAAAGAAACAAGGCTTTCAGAATGCTTCACCACCCCAAGTTTCACGCTCTTCCTTTGGATTGCGCCCACAGTGATGTCTTTACAGCAGAGCACAGAGGGCACAATGGCGGTTGGGGGGTGAAGCCCCACTTGGTGCTGCCATCCCCCCTAAATCCTGCTTATTGCTGTCATTTCTTTCCCCTTCACACAGGAGGGGCAGCTCCAGCAGAATGCGCTCTATTGGCACGGCTGGCAGCACATGCAATCCATGCTGCTCAGACACCAGAGCTGGGGCTCAACTCGAAGGCTGAGCCAAAGGTTGGTTCTGAAGGCCACTCTTTGAAGGCTCCTGAGGATTCTTCCCAGTTGTTTTGCTATTTCTGTCCACTGCCCTTGTTTGTATTTCGTACGACGCACGCAAAAATACGCACCGTGCTCTTGCAGTGGGGAAGGGACCGGCTTTGCCTTTTTTTGGAAACCGTATTTTTTTGCAAAATTCTTTCCCCAAATCTTTTGTTTCGCCGAGGCAGCTGGAAAGTTGAGTCTCCCTCCTTGCTTAAAAAAGAGATTTTCCTTCCCCCTCTCTCTTTCTCTTTCAGAGGCAAAGTGGAAAACATTGTTCCATGAGCCATGGAAGCAATGAAGCTGTGTTTCCTACAGATGCGTGCAGCAGGAGCTGTGCTGGGGAGACTCTCCGGTGTCTAATAAGGGGCTGTGCCCATGCTGCGGTGTTTCTCCTCACCGTGGCCAGCTGTCCCACCCAGCTCTGTTCACAAAACTTAAAGGAAATCCCTCCTTCCTAAAACCTACAGTGCTGAAAACGCAAGGGAAAACGACCTCTTCTCACTTAAAAGCCCATTTCAACTGAGTTTCTTCACCTGAAAAAAAATGCCAAAGGATAAAACCAGGGTGAGAACATCACCTCACAAAGGAAAAAAAAAGAGAAAAAAAAAGCCCTTTCCTGGTTTGGTGGCTGCTGACACCCTGTTCAGGAGCGGGTTTTAACCCGAGGAGGGTGGGAGAGCAGCAGGAAACCCCGGGCATGTGAGAGGAAGCGATGCTCGGCCAGGATGCAGCCGACTTCCCTTAAAGGAGGGTGGCTGCAATTTAAGCAACTCCTGACTTTGGGGAAGGATGGAAAGGATCAGGACACGGCGCCCCTGCACCTCCTGCAGCAACGGAACGGGGAGCAAAGCAGGAGCCAGCCACACAGCCAGGGAAAGCAGAGGATGCGCTGCCTGACCTGGAGCATCCCCACAGCCCTGCCCCGTCCCAGTCCCTCACCAGGAGCTGGCACATCAGCTGGGCTTCGGGAAACAAGAAGCGACAGCGAGGAGCAAAGCCGGCGTGATCCGCAGCCGGGCGCGCACGTGGCACTCAGCGTGCCTGTCTGAGGCCTCGGCCGGGCCCTGCGATTAAGGACCCCCCCTTTTCTCCCCCTCACTGCAGTCAGAGAGATTTTCTCAGACTTAAAAGCTTGCAGCAGTCAGGGCCGGGGCTAGGCAGGGAGCGGAGGGGCTCAAACCCCTCCTGCTGCACTGAGTGTCTCATCCCAAGAGCTCGGCTTCACTGCTGCCAACCCCAAATCCCCGTGCCATGCAAGGCTCCACTGCTGTCTGCTGAATCCCTGTGCCATGCAAAGCCCCACTGCCACCAGATCTGAACCCCTGTGCCATGCAAGGCTCCACTGCTGTCTGCTGAATCCCTGTGCTATGCAAAGCCCCACTGCCACCAGATCTGAACCCCTGTGCCATGCAAGGCTCCACTGCTGTCTGCTGAATCCCTGTGCCATGAAAAGCCCCACTGCCACCAGATCTGAACCCCTGTGCCATGCAAGGCTCCACTGCTGTCTGCTGAATCCCTGTGCTATGCAAAGCCCCACTGCCACCAGATCTGAATCCCTGTGCCACACACAGCTCCACTGGTGCCAGCCCTGAGTCTCTGTGCCATGCAAGGCCCCACTGCTCCAGTCCCTGTGCCGTGCAAAGCTCCACTGCTGTCTGCTGTGCTGTGCAAGGGATTCAGGCCTGTGTCACCCCCTCCTCATACCCCTGAAGTGCTTCTGGAGGCACACAAGGCTGTGTCTCTCCTGCAGGAATGGGAGCCGGGTGTCACACAGAGGCAGCCACCCCTTCAGTCACTCAAACATCTCCAAACAGAACGCAGACCTCATAAGCAGCTGCGTCCCTTGCCCATAGGGTAGAGCAGGATCCTGACCCCACTGCTGTGTTTGCCAAGCCTCCCACCATGACCTGAACCTCCAAGGAGAAGACGTGCTGTGAAGGTCTGACAGGTGAGACAGCAATAACCTGCACAGAACTGGGGCTCTAGTGAGACCCAGTCTGAGTCCAGCCAACTCCACGATCAGGGAGGGTCCTAGCAGGGTTTGGAATAGAAAACAGAAACATCCTGGAGCAGCCCAAGCCCTGTTGCACACAAGGAGAAGGGATGAGGACGAGGATGGCTGCCTGAGTGGCTTTGAACCCGCCTGAACAGGATCTCGGAGCAGATGACAGCAGCTCTGCTGGCTAGACATGCCGAGCCTCGGCTCCTCTCCCCACCATCCACCAGTGTCCTTCCGCTTCCCATGTTCCTCTCTCCAGCTTTGGATGCAGATTCATCTTTTCATGTGGTGCAAACACTGCATTTCTTTGGGTGCCAAGGACTGTGTGTAACTTGTCGGCTTGGGAGTGTTTGCGTCTTGGACCATAAGGGAACAGAGAATGCTGCCCAAAATGTTTATGGTATTTTTAGGCTGAGACAAATCTGTTCGATGCTGCGAGCTCCAGTATGAGCATCCTGGGGAGGCTGGGCAAGGTTGCATCGACGAGCGAGGCAGGGAACCGTGGCTGTGAAATGCAGCAACTGAAGTGCATGAGGCCCTGCTGTTCCCAGGATAAGGCTACTACCAGTGCTTCAAATAACATCCAGAAAGAGCATTCTGAACAATTAGGAAGGTCACCAGACAGCTGCTTGTTGGCTGCTTGGTGCTGAGGAGGAGCGCAGCGGACGCTGGTTCAAAGCGCTCACAAAGAGACGCTTCAGGGAGGCGGAAAAAAAACCAAAACAACCAAAGAACCCAAAAAAAGCCAGATTTTTTGAGCTAGGTTGTGGGATTGCCTGGTTTTTTCTTGATGAAATCAAAGCCTGAGCTCACTGCCTGAGGTGGCTGAATTGCACCGGAGGGCTTCAAAGGCACAAATCGCAGGTCCAAGAGGCAGGAGAGGACGGTCTGCAGCATCCTCGCCACGCAAGCCCCAAAGTGACTAACGGTTCCACCGGTGCTAATTGATGCCCGCCCATAATGTCAATAATTACCCAGGCAGCCCTCGCATTTGTCTGAATTTGCCCATGCGTAAAGGGAGCTGCCCACACACAGCTTGCAGCTGCTGAGTGACACACGCGTGGTTCTGTCACATCATCGCCACGATGTGGCTGGGGAGCTTAGAGAGCATCCTGTGCTCCAGAACGGTACATGGGAACGAGGAGGATGCGGTGGGGATGGCCGGAGTGGGGTGTCTGAGAACAAGGCTGCTGGTTTGGAGGGAGCTGTGGGTGTCGCCAGCCTCAGCAAGGGCTGGATGCTATGCTCTCGTCATCCCTGCCACAGAGCTGGGTCAGATAGGATTCACTAAAGGCAACTCCATCAACCCAGTGGGAGGCAGGCTGTGCTTTGAGCAGAGGTCAGAGGAGAGGCACTCAAAGGCCTCCCCAGCCAATGACACTTGGTGTCAGCTGCTGCTGCCCTCCTGGAGCCCCACTGTGTACAAATGACACAGTTCACAGGGCCGGCTGCAGCTCTGGGAGATGCTTCTGAAACCCAACCTGATTTACCCAGAAAATCCCCAAAAAGCCACGCTGCACCTCCATTTCACAGCAGTAAACCGGCACGTCACTCCAGATGGCTTCCAACAGCTCCGAAATTTGACCAATAAAATAGATGCCAAATCAGCCTGGAGGTCTCCTCGTTCCCTTCAGATTCTGCTCAGCCTCCTCCCCGCGCCAGCCCTGCTACAGTGGGACGTGGATGTGGCCTCACCTCAATGATGTCCGCATTGGTCCGGCTCTCGTGGGGCTCGTTGTACTCGGTGTATTTGAGCAGCACCTTGTCCATGTCGGTGCTGGCATACTGGAACAGCTTGTTGGAGTGGTTGAAAATGATCAGGGCGATCTCGCAGTCGCACAGCACGCTCAGCTCGTAGGCTTTCTTCATCAAGCCGAACTTGCGCTTGGTGAAGGTCACCTGGAAGCAGGCAGAAGAGATTTGGGATGAACACTGGAGGAGAAGCCAAAAGAAAGTAACAGCAGGAGGACACCTCTTGTACTCAGCTTCCCCAAGTGGACAACAATCCCAAGCTCTCTTCTCCCACCTCCCTCTCCTGCATGGCCCAACAGATTTGTGCTGATGCCTATTTTTGGGCTCGCAAGGCAGACACTTCACAAGCGCAGAGATGATTATCAGCATTGGAAATTGCATATTGCCAAATCAAGAGAAAATAAATTTCAGCAAAATCCCCAGCAGAGCTACCATCTGTTCAGGGGCTGCGGGTTGCTGGGGGGGGTTTGAAGTTGAATGTTCTCGCAGTGCAGAGCTCTTCCTAGCTCATCACAGCAGCCTGGATGTCACCCGGCCCTAGCGTGAAAGCACAGGTGTGAAGTGCAGTTTTGTGCCCCAGAAGTCAGAGAGCTGCGTGTTCCACCTGCCAGCACTGTTTCCTGCTCTCCTGGTACCTTGCATGAGCACTGAACATCTCACGGAGGGAGAGTTGTGCAACAGGAGGTGGCCGTGGCCAGGGCAGGGTGCAGGCTCCAAACCCAAGTGATTCCCAGTCTGCACCAACACCCACCAGGATGCAGCTGGTTGGAGGGGCTGGTTTGGGGCTCCTCACCCCGCTCACAGCACCCATGGATGCTCTAAGCAGCTGCAAAATGCCCCTGAACCCCCAAATGGAGAAGGGTGCAACACTTGCTCTCTTAACAAAAAGCAAGAGGAAAGGAATAGGAAAGCGTGGAGGGGAGGCTCCCGCACTGCTTCAAGTGTGTGTGAAGCAGCGTGCTGGGGCACAGGCAGCAACCAGCTGTGACACCCTGCAGTGCTGGAAGGCTGCTCCCTTGCTGCCTGCGTGCAAGGTAGGGCTCAATCCCACTTAGGACCACAGTCATAGCATTGATCTTGAAGCCGAGCAGCTCCAGCCCGAGGTGTGGAGGCAGGAGCTTGATGAGACTTTGGCTCAGCAGTGCCACAGGAGCTGAGCCTGAGCTTCCCAAGGCATCGTCGCCACAGCCCAGCAGGCACCCAGTGACCTGTGAGGGCACAGCCCATGCCTCCCCATCCCTGCTGCTGGAGCTGGAGCACATCTCATCCCTCCCAGCCATCTCCTGAAGATGATTAAGCAGTAACAAGATTGGGCTCTAATCACCTCACCCGCTGCTCTCCGCCACGTGCATCACTCGCCCCAGCTCCAAATGCAAGCTCACGTGGCCAGCGGGCACCCAGGGACCCGAAACCACCGAGCGCTCGGGGCTGCCCTGAACTTCTCAGGATCCCCTCAGCTCTGAGGTCACCTGTCCAGAATGAAACAGCAAGCTGAGCGGTGACATGCAGACCAAAGCACCAAAGGATCCCCATCCCTCTGAGAAGAAGGAGATGTTTCCTCCCCAGGGGCACGGCACAGAAGCAATCCTTTTTCTTGGTGCCCACAGATCTCCTTGCAGAGAAAAGCACACATCTGCCCTTTAACCAGCCCTGCCCCAAAAGCATCAGAGCTACGTGTGCCCTACACATCCAGCAGCTACAGGGCAGGGAAACACCAAACCCCGCTGCGCCACGCAAAGGGGCTGAGATGCACGTGGGCACGCGCCCCATCTCAAAGAATTAACCTTCTAAGTCTAAGAGGGTAATCAAATCTCATGCTTCAGGGCATAAGCCGATCACCAAAGGGGTCAGGAAGGAATTACTGCCCCACACAGCCCTACACTACCAGGGGATTTTTGCCTTTCCCCTGATGCAGACCATATTGGTCATTGCCAGAGTCAGCAGCCTGGCCCTGAAGGACTGATGGTCTGATCTGTTCTGGCAAATCCTCTCCAGTAATTCCCCTAATGACATTAGAGACTCTTACTTGCTTTCCTCCCCTGGGTTTGGCTTCTGCTGTAATCCCAGTCCCCTCCACACAGACTTGCGCTCCCCGCTCCCTAAGGATGACTGTTGCTGGACCAGGAGAGCGCAGCCACAGCAGGGAGGCTCTGCGGGTGACCCCCCGTTTCCAGCATCCCCCAGCCACAATATTCCCATCTCCAGAAGGAATATCCGCCTGCAGCAGCAGCGGGAGAGCAGCGAGTTGGAGCAAGGCAACCAGCCCAGGGACCTGAGGCTCACTGCACATCTGACACTGTGGGAAAGGGCTGCAGACCCCCACACCACAGCCCCAAACGCCTCCTGCTGCTTTGGCTGCCGGTGCTGGCAGCAAGATGCTGCTTTCCCATCCCGAAGGCTTTACACAACAGTGCTGGGCTGTGCCACCGGCTCCAGCATGACCACAGATTTTCCATTTGCTGCAGCTCCAAACAGGGCTGGCTGCGTGCGTGCAGCACCACACTCCCCTGCACATCCCCAGCAAGCACACCCCAGCTTCTTTACCAACCCCAAAAGCCCTGCTTTCTGCTTGCCACGGAAACGAGCAGTGCCACGAGCTTTCGGAGTCATTAGCAAAGACACTTCACACCATCCTACCCCCTAATCACCAAATAATGAAGAAAATCTGCCATTTTCTATTGTTCGACTGAGGAGCAGTAGGACGGTTCAGCACGTTCTGCTATCTGCCACTTCTCAAGCATTAGGGATAGACAGCATAGTTTGTTTTTCCTGGAGGACAAATAAAAAAGCAGTAGAAAAGTGCAGCAGGACACGCGCTGGATGTCCTCCACGTCCTCAGGAAACACAATGGTGGAGCAACCACAGAGCAAAGCTGCTCCAGCAAAGCGCTGCCACTCTGCAGCTTGGACTCAGCAAGATGAAAATGAGGGAGAAATGACTTTTCTTTTTCCCTGTGAGATGCATGGATGCGTTTACCCATGCATGTACACACATGCACACGTGTCAACAGCTCCGTGTCAATGCAGTGAAAACCTGGCACGAGGAGGAAAAAGCCCTGGCCACAAGTTAGCGCTCCATTGAAAAGAATTAAAATTCCTTTGGGTTGCTAGCGTTCAGAAAAAATGGATCCTTGTTGTGGTTGTTTCTTATTGGAAAAAGCCTGGTGGAAAATGTCAAACGAAATACGTTTTTTGCAAGGGAAGAGAAGTGGCAGCTAAGGGGGGAGGATGCTTTCTTCTAGGAAGGGCTTAGGTGTGAGCAGCTCTGCGCTTGGTGGAGGAAAACAGGGCGGTTTGCTGGGCTTGGGGCATCTGCTGCGAGCAGCCTGAACCCAGCCTCCATGGCTTAGCATTATGGGCTGGATGAGAAAAGCAGAGCTTGGCCCAAAAGGGATGCAAGTGGGGAGTTAATGAGAGTCTCAAAATGTGTGATAATTGGTACCTGGGGGGGGAGGAACGACGACTCACCTGCCGGTTCCGCTCATCGGTGATCCGCTGGATCTGGATCTTTTTCCTCCCCATCTTCTCAGGAGATCCTCACCGCAGCAGCACAGCGTCACCCGGGGGAGTGCGAGAGGAGCCCCCTTTTAAAATGTTCTCATGAAAAATGTTTGGGGGGGGGGGGGAGGTGGGAGGGTGAGGGAACGATGAAGAACCAAGGGAAACCAAACGAAAAGGAGCTGGATGCTCAGTTCATGGCACCCTCCGGCGAGTCCAGTGGGGCTGAGCCATCAGAAACCTGCAGGGACAGAGGCAGAGGTGAGATCCAAGCCCATGGTTTTGAGGGGCATCCCCTCCCTCCCAATTTCAGGGAACCCCCCCGGCATGCCATCGCTACCATCCTCCCAGGATGTGATGACTTCTTTTTTTCTCCCCCTCTTAATAATGCCACAAGCAGCTGGTGATTAGCTCAGGCAATTTAAATCCATCTCCAGTTCCTGCATACATCTCCAATGTTGAATTTTAAAATGTCTTTATTTGATTACTCGAAGTAAAGAAAGAAATATGCCCGTATAACCAGGCACAGAAACCTAATTCTTAGGGGCAGGGCGAAGGAGGACAGGGAAGGAAGCCGGGTCAGGGCACCCCATGAAACACAGCACCCCCAGCCCCATTTCCCAGTGCAAATGGGTGGGATGGGGCAGCAGAGGCACCGAGTGCCTTTCCCCTCTGTTTTTCTCCATGTTCTTTCTTCGAGTGGCTGAATAAGGGCAGTGATAACGTCGCACTTAACACAAGGGTGCCCCGTGCCAAGGCTCAGGCTGAGGGAAACGCCAGTCCCAGAATAGCTCCCTATCTGCCTCCACTTGGCAGCACCGAGCTCTCAGGCTGCTCACAAGCGATGCGACCAGAGAGAACCTCCTCCCTCCCCCAGCACCCAAAACCTGAGCTCCTCTCCTATCCCACAGCCACCCTCCAGGGACCCTCGCCCCATCCTTCGCCAGCCCAGCCCCAGTGGTTCCCCCCCCCCCCCACCTTCTCCCCTCCCACTTCATTTGTCAGGGTTCAGAGCTCTGTGACTCACTCGCCCTATTTATTTTTTTGGCACAGTTATTCATCCTGCACTGCACCCGGCGATCTCAGAGCTGATTCGAGCACTGGAAGGGGAAGAGGATGATCCCCCCCTCTCATCACCCAGTGTTGGCTCCATGGAGCAGCCAAGCATTCAGAAGCCAGGAGAGGTGAAGGACAATAGAAAGCCTTTTCTTTTTCCCCAATAAATCCCAACAGGAAAGATCAGTGCAAGGACAAGCACGCTGAGATTGCATTTGTTGATCATCGTTTATCCAAACTGCTGCGTGCATCCCCTCCCAGCCAAGCAGCGGTGCAACGGAGACTCTGCCAGGTTCTGCTCCCCATTCCCACCTGCACCAGCCTGTGCAGGAGCAAGCTGGGAGCCACGAGGGTTTTGCACGCACCGAGAAAAGTGGGAGGAGGAAGAACTTTCTGCAAGGCTTCCTTTGCAGCTTTTCCCCTTGGAGGTGGCACTTCTGCAACACGGCTGCCAACGCATCGTTCCCATCCTCAGCACCGAGCAGCAGCTCTGCACCCAGAGCAAGGGCAGCATGCTGATGCCTCCCCTGTTGCTGCAGCACTTGGGAGAAGGAAACCCTCCCAAAGGGTGACAACGCATCGGCCATCCAACCCTGACAGCAGGCATCCCCAGCAGCAGCAATTAGCACTGGAGAACACAGGCTATAAACCCAAGCCGAGCGAAAGGAAGCATTATTTTAACCTCATCCATTTGGGGAACTTCTTCCCAGGATGTGGAAGAGCTTCACCACACTTCCAAAGGGTTTGCAGATGAGCAAAGCCCAGCTCAGCCCTTGCTTGGGCACTAAACCACGTTTCCCTCGCCGAGCTGCAAGCAAAGCCCAGCTGCACCAACACAGATCCCCTTCCCCCAGCCCTTTTCTCTCCTGGTGCTTTAGTTGAGGTTTTGGGGGCATTGGAGCATCCCCCACCCTTCCCCAATGTATTTTAAAGCCAGGTATTCTTTCTGGCTTCCTGACCAGGTGGCTGTTTCACAAATCTCACCGTCCACCCCCCCCTAGACTCCACTTTCTGCTCAGCACCTGCAATAAAGCACCCACATCCACATCTCCATCCCCACCCTGCTACAAGCAGCCCATCTCCCCAAGCTGATACAACACCCCAGCATGTCATAGTGGCAGAAAGGCAAAGCCCAACCCTTACGAGACAATGGAGAACCTCTGCAGCCCCAGCAAAAGGAATCATCCCACTCCACTTCGCCCCCCACTCCAGCACCCCTCATGTGCTTCTCACAAGGATGACTCTGGCAGAGCAATTAACACACATGCCAATTAACTCCAAGCAGGTGCTGGTTAACTCTGTGCTGAGTAATTCAACTCTGGCTCCGAGTAAATTGCTTTAAATTGGGTAGACGAGGGAGGGAGCAGAGTTAGCAGTTTGCAAATAGGGGAAGGGATGAGAAGAAAAGGAGGCTCTCAGCTGGGAGATGTTTGCACAAAACAAGGAATTTGGGGGTGCTGAGTCCACAGCTCTAAGTGCTGGCAGGCAGAGAGCTGCTCTCCTCCAAGCCCTTATTTCTGAGTTCCTGACTGGCTATATATTTTTATTCCCAATCTGTTTTACCTGTTGCTAAATGATCTTACCCCAGTGCTGCGTGGGACCCTTTGCACCGTTCCAAAACTGCTCCCTTTCCCACTGCACAGACCCACGTTTCGCACAGAGAGGCACTGGGAGCTTCACATCCACTTTCTGTTGCCCGCTTGCTGTTTTTAATGCCCTTTTATAGCATCTCCTCCTCACCAAAGCCAGCTCCATGCACGCCTTCCCCCCTCCAAGCTGACACAATGAAGCTGTCCTCTCCTGCAGCCCCACCTGTGATCTCAGCACAGCATCAGCTCCAAATAAACCAAACGCTGACAGCGCAGCTGGAGAGATCAAAACCTGTGGATCCCAAAGACCCAGGGAGAGGAAGGCAAATAAAAGCAGTAAATATATTCTTTCCAACCAACAACAACAAAGTGTTTGTATTTCAAGCGCAGCCTCCGCATAGCTCTGCACTTTCCAGCCTGTTTGTGGGCATCAGTGCAGAGCCCAGCGTGGCATGAAAAGGGACTGCAAAATTTGGAGGGCTTCACGGAAAATAAAAGTAAAGGGGTGCTGTTTGGGAGTCCAGATCTTAATTTTGAGGCACCTGGGTTTAGCAAAGTCCTCCCTGAGCTGGTGCAGGGAAGAGGGCACAAGGGTGGGGAGAGGGAAAGGCAGAGAGTCGGGAAGGAAGGAGAGGGAAAAAAGGAGGAAAAGAAGGAAGGGAAGAAGAGGGAAAAGAAGGAAAGGAAAAAGAAGGGAAAAAGGAAAGCCCTCCCCTGACAAGGTGCCAAAAGGACCTGCGCTGCTCATCGTGCGGAGGAGGTGGATGGGAGAACGGCTGAGAGCGGTGCAGAAAATCCTAAATTAAAGGGAGAGAAGCTGTGGCGTTTCCCACCTGCTGCAGTGCAGGAGGAATGAAGGATTTGCTGCAAAGAGGCAGTGAGTGCAGAGCTGCACATCCCAAGGTATGAACTCCCCCGGGTGGGTGCACAGAGATGCTCCACAGGCACCCAGCACCAACCTGGGTGTTAGGGTTTCATGGGCTTCCACCAGGAGAAGGGATCCCGAGCCCCGGATCTGCAACACCATCAGCACCTGCACAGACTCAGGTTCTCCCATGGCCAAAATCCACTGCACAGCCAAGGTTCCCAACTCCACAGTGCCACACATCTGTCTCACCACGAGGCCTGGACTTCCTCCTCTCAAGGATACGGAGCCAGATCCGGTCACCTCTTGAACCTGCTCTAGTTCTTGCCTTCCTGTTTCCTCTCTCGCTGATGGCCAGACCTCCCTGTTGTGACTTAATTGTTGTTTTTGACATATCCTCTGCACCGACACCAAGGACTTTTCGTTTCCTCCTTGCCGCTTTCAGGACACACAGGACCAGCTTCCTCCTCCCGAGGAGGGTGGAAAACAACCCCCTGATTCATTCAGCCACAGCGCCCATGCTGCTGGGCGCCGTTCTTCCTCTTCCTCCTGCACTGTCTCTGCTCTACGCCGTACTCCACATCAACCACTGCCATCTCTCCCATGCCTGCCATCACCCCCCTGCGCTCTCCATCACCGTGCCACTGTCACCCCTCCGAGCCATCACAGCTCCGCACCCACTGCCATCCCAGCGAACCATCACATCCCACCCAGGATGGCAACCTGGGGGACAGGGACTGCAGAAACAGGGACGTGCAGCGCCGCGGGATGGGAGAGCAACCACAGCTTTGGTAGCACGGATGGCAGAGGCTGCGTGCGCCAGGCGAAGGGCTAGCTCACCCACTCAGCGTTGTTTAGCACCTCTTTATCTCCAAACCGAGATCAAAACCACACAAACGCACTCGGGTCCCCTCCAGAGCTTCTATTCTGGTTTCAGGATGATGCTATCTGGGTTCCTGTGCAGAGTCTCCAGATGCACACGGGGGAGGGGAGAAGAAAGCGGCTGAAGCGCGTTGCTCTGGTGTGAACCTGGCTGGGATGCACAGCTGCGCGGTCGGCCCCAGCCCTCCTGGGGACAGATCCTGCTCATGGAGCAGGTGCAGCAGCACGGGTCTCTGCAGCTGGCACCAGCTTTGTGCAGCAAAGTGCTGGGCAATGCACTCTGGTGGATACCTGGCTCCTGCTGGATGCATCCTACAGCCACAGGTATCACCATGGGAGGCTCCAGAGAGCAGAATCTGGGCCAGATTCAGCCAAACCCCTGAGGAATTTGAAGGTAGAAACATTCCTGACCCAGATTCAGGCATTCTCTGGAGGAAAGCAGATGCCAACTGCGCTGCCAGCTCTGCTGAGCTGTAACAAAACCACGGGTTGTGCCAAGAACGGCCGAGCCTGGGGAGGAAAGCACAGCCCTGCAGCGATGCTGGAGCACCGATACTCGCGTGTTGAATTAAGGGGGGGGGGGAGGGTTGAAAGGCTTTGGGGAAATCAGCAACCAGAGGGCTGCAGAGCAGAGGTGCCAGGCAGCACTTTGCTGAATTGACCTCCAAAGCTGCCCACAATGGGCTTCACCGCAATCCTGAGCGGCAGCCCCGGTGGCAGCAGCATCCTCATTCAGGATCCAACCCTGCTGGGAGAGAGGACATCCCTTGGACACCCCACCACCCCCCACACCCACCACCACAGCAATGCCCATCTCCTGCATGACAGCATCCCATACCCCCCCACCCC